AACGCTATTCTAGTAGTAGTTAAAATATATACTAAATTTATATAGTATATTTCTTGCTTAAAAAGTATTAATATAAAATAACTTGCAAATACCCTTATAAATAATATCTTTTGTTTTATTAGTATACTAAAAAACATGGTTAATAATTATAAAAGTTTTTTTACTAATATATTTTAAGCCATGCTAAGCCACTGCCTAGGTGTAAAATAAAAATTATTTACTATATATTACCCGCAAATAAATAGCTAAATTAAAAGGTAAAACTAAGTTTTTAAGCACTATCTTCGCGCTTATATTAACTAGTATTAAAATAATTAGCCATGCTGGATTAAAATAGCGTAATTTATAAATAATAACATGTATAAATAATTTATAGGTTGCACACCTACTAAGGCCCTTATAAACTTAAAAGCTATTATATATATTAATATTAAGGGACCTAAGCATGTGTTAAATATTAAACTTTAAAAAGCCATAAAATTTAAAAAGATTTATATAAAGCTAGAAAAGCAATTATAAAAATTAAAAAAAATAATAGCCGTGTAGTATAATAAAAAGCATAAAAAAATAAGCTTTAAAATTAATAACTATATTATACTTTATATAAAAAATATTAAGTTCGCGAGGCTAAATTATAAATTAAGTAAAATATTTATTAGCCTATTTTTAATAATTATAAAATAAAAAAGGTAATTATATAAGCTATTACTTTTATTAAATATGCGCTGGTTATATAATATTTTTTATGTTATACTTTTAAAACCCTACTAAGGTGACCTATTTTAAGCGCTAAATATTAGTTTTATACTGGTGGACAGTAAAAAAGAATACTTTATTAAAAAGATTTTTAATATTTATAAATATAAAAGCAAAGTGTAATACCTTGTGAAGTAGCAGGGTTAAAATAATATAAAAAATAATATATAAAAGTTAAAGGCCCATGTGGCTAAAACTACAGCACTTAATAAGTTTAAGTAATTTTATAAAAATAAACTATAAAAAGTAAAAAAAAGGCGTACTTAAAAGTCTACTCTTTACAAGCTACAAGTAATTATAAAAAAAAAGAAAGTATTTTATTTCCGCTAATTGGCAGCGCCCGCAGGGCCTTTAATAAAATAAAAAATAAAATAAAATAAAAAATAAAACTTAAACAAGCGCCTAGGCGGCGCGGCGCGCAGAACCCTAAATACTTAATATAAAAATAATACCTAGTAAGGCATTAATACTAACCCCTAATATAAAAGCTAATTAAATAATAACCCTAAACAGCGTTGTAGCGCAATAAATACCGGACTAGAATAAACATAGATTTATAATAGGATTAGTAATATAATATAAAGTAAATTAAATATATAAATATATAGTTAGCGGCTAAAGCCGCGCTAGTATAAAGGGTAAAGGTAACTGCCAAGGCAGTGGTGGTGGATGGCCTAAAGGCGCGAATAAAAACTACACGTAGTATTAGTATAAATAATATTAGTAAAGTATAATTATAACTTATAAATAATAATATTATCGCGGACCACACGGGCACTAGCTAAAAAAAACTTTAAATTAAATATTAGTATAACTAAACTAATAGGAAGGATAACTGCGCCTGTAATTATAGTAGCCTGGATAGTTATAAAAAGAGTATTATAAGCTTTTTTTAGTACTATAATATTTATGTTTTTTTATAAATTACTATTACTAATATATATAATATTATATAGGCCTAGGACCCGGAGTAGTTCTAGCTAAATTATAGTTATATTAAATATAATATACTCCGCCGGGGTCCTGTGGCTATTCTTATAGTAATTATATTTTTTACCCGCGGGCTTAGTATATTTAAAATACTAGGTTACTACCTAAGTATAAAAATAATAACTAATTTTTTAGGTAGTAAAAAGCACGCACTAAAAATAACAAGCCTAAAATAAATTAAGGGGTAGTAAAGCAAGGGGGGCCAGGGCGGGTACTAAAAAAGCCAGGGCTAGGGCTAAAAGTTACGCTAAAGGCACGGGAAAAATAATAATAACAAAGTTAGTGGCAGGGGCAGCAAGGGCGGCAGCGCAAGTATAATAAGAATAAGTTATTTTAAAAGGCATGTTAATAATTAATACTATAAAGCATGGGCAGGGGAATATAATCCCTATATATTAAAAATAAAATAAAAAATAAAGGCTAAAACCAAGGCTTAATTACCATAATAAAAAAACATAAAATAAAACACTATAACAAGCTAAATAATTACTAATAATAATATTTAAAGTATAACATAAGACTATATTAGGTATTAAAGCAAGAGAAACATAAAGTAAAAAGCAAGCATAAAAGACCTTAAAAAATAAAACAGGGTTAAAAACACGTAATATAATAAAGGCTATAATAAAGGTAAACTATATTTAATTTAACTGCTAAAAATAGTTTTAAAAACATAAAAATAAAAAGAATTAAATATAAAAAGCTTATTAACTAAATTAAAAAGGCAAGTGCGCAGTAAGGCATAAAAAAAAGGCAGATAAAAGGCTAATATAGTAATATATTAATAGCTAAAATAAAATAACCACATATTATAAATAACTATTAAAAGTATTAAAAAAAGTATAAAAATAAGGAGATTTAGCTATCTAAAAATTAAAGCCTTATTATAAAAATTAAGTATAAAATAAAATAAAATATATGGGCCTAATAATACCAACACGTGGCTAATACTACTAAAATAAATAATACCGCGCTTAAAAAGCATAAAAAAGGGTAAATATAAGGTATTTTAACTTTAAAAATATAATTAAATAATTAAAAAGTAATAAAAATATAATAAAAAAGGTGTATACTTACAGGTGCCATCTTGCTTTAAAAGTTAAAAAAATTTAAAAAAAAAAAAAAAAAAAAAAAAATTGCAAGGGCGCTTTAGTATTAAAATTAAAATATTATACCTAGCTACTGCAGGCAGTAATGCTATATTTAAACCTAGTAATAAAATAAGGTAATTAAATTAATTTTTTACCCCTAACTTTAAACATAAATTACACGCGAACTATAACACTTTATAAACCTAAAAATAGCTTATTTTATAGCGCTTAATAAGATTTATAATTTAAATTACTTTTTATAAAAAAAAAATATAAATTTATAAATTATAAGGGCGCGATTACTTAAAAAAAAAAAGCATTATTATTACTACTATAATGTTATAACTACATAGTATTATAATAATATAATTTAGCGGCCTAAGGCCGCCTAGCAAAGGAACTTTAATGCTAATTTAACCGCGTGCTAAGGCGGTGGTTAGCCACGTGATATATAAAATACTAAGTTTAACTTAAAACTCTAACTTAAAAAATTAGTAATTAGTTCCTATTACAAATACACAACACTTTCCTATTGCGGTAATTCACGTTCTCCTAAGCTCAGCGCAGTATACAAAAGCGCCTCACATTATTTTATATTATTTTTTATACCCTAAATAAAAGAACTCCTAATTTTTAAATAGCTAATATACTAGTTTAAAAGTATTATTTATAAAGGCTTAAATACATGTCTTAGGGTTATAGGCCATGGCTAATTTATAGGCCTTTATATAGGTTAAAGTATAGTATTAATAAAGGGTTTTTTTAAAAAGCTAAGTAATATAAAAAATAGTATTAATATAAATAAATAAAAGTTAAGGCCTACTTTTTTTAAAAAAGGCCTTTATTATTTTTATTTAATATAAAAATATAAGGCAAGTAAAAACTAAATATATTATAACTTTAAAATATAGCGCGTTATAGTAATAATATTTAATTTAATTAAGGTAAAAAAAAAGTATAAAAATATAAATTTCCTAAGTATTAAAGCTATATTAATTTATTAAGGGATTTTTATATAATTTTATATACTTTTAACTTATTAAAAATAAAAAAGCTAACGCTCCCGCGGTATTTAGTTAAAATTAAATTTAAAGTATTAGTAAAGCTCTGGACCTTGGTAAATATAGTTAATATTACTTATTAATTAAGTTTTTTTTATATATATTATTAAAACACTTATAAATAGTATTATTTTATTTATTTTTAATAATAATAAGGTGGTGGTAATATTTATAATAAGTAAATTTATTTTATTTATATTTATATATAAATTAGTATAAAGGTTAAAATATTAATATTTTACACCTAGTTTAAAATTAACAAGGCTTAGTAAATTTTACACGTGATATTAAAGGACGTCCGAAAGCGGTAAATTGGGCAGTATTAATATTAAAAGAAGAACCAAATTTTTGGTGGCAGACGGAATCTATTGGTAAACGAGGCCATCATCGTTAAGCGGTCAAACCTCCGTGCTTTCCCTTGCTTTCATCAAATTTCTCATCCCCGTCAATTTCTCAATAATTCCGAATGAAATCATTGTCCTATCTGATTCCACCTAGCTAAACTAGCTTTAGCTTGAAGTATGTCTTTATCGCTTATCCGTTAAGCTTCCACACTTTTCGAGCTGCGCTTCTACACATCTTCATCCATAACCACATTTACCGTTTCCCCAAACTTAAATCCAAGAATGGTGCTTGGACAACGTCCGATTCGACAGGGGAGAGTTACGACCTGATGAGGCTAAGGATTGTGCGCGGCAACAGATTTCAGCTTCAAGCCATGGAAGGCTCGGTTACTGGGCGGCTAATCCGTGCTGAACCATGGGCAGAGGAGTGAAAAACAAACGAACATGACCTCAGGCAGTTTGCTATATTTATTCGACGACGGAATTATCTCCTTGCCGTCATTGGCTTTGAGCTGACACAGCCTCCGGCGCAGCGATCTTCTCCTTACCCTACCAAGCTACCACTGCAACGGTATAGTGGCGGAGACAGCGTCAAAGAGGCTGGGCATTGTATATTAGCATTCATTGCCCCAGGATCTGCTGCTGCTCATTTTCCGGTTCCATTTTCGCTTCACGTCGCTCACCCACTCATTGAGATCCGTTTCAACTTCCGAGTTTCCGCAACAGACAACCCCACGCGATCGACTTTCATAGACACGATGCCGTTGCGCGAGATCCTCCATAAAAAGGACCGGCTGGACAACGCCAGTGACCAATATTCACCAGGTACATTCGATGCTCACGCAAACCCGGTACCTGAGATCAGGTTCATCCGCTCCGACACCACTACCCAGGAAATCATCATCCCACCTTCGCAACCGGGTGATGATGAAGATCGCCTAGCCTCCCCGCGGCCCTCCTCCTCCTCCTCCCATCGCAGATCGCTGAATCCTTTCCACCGCTCACGGACACCGTCCGAATCGCAGGAACCTGGGTCGCCAAGGGAGCCAAGGGAACGACGGCTATCCAACTTCTTGCGGCGCGGCTCTTCGTCATCTTCCGTCAACCTTCCGCCGGACCTTCCGCGGATAGCATTCAATGCTGGTGATGATCAGGAGCGCGAAGCACAATGGGAGAAACGGGCGACTGTTCTTGCGCAACGAAGCCCGCAGTATGGATCACCGAGCCATTCGCCTGCCCCGTCCACGAGTCTTGGTTCGGAGAACGTACGGCCTCGGTCTCGAAGTTCCAGCCACAGTCGGGTAAACGATCCGCAGGGAGATGTAAGCTGTGCGCATGGTTCGTACGGTGCAAGCGGTTATCTAACAGGTCTCCAGGTCAATATTCTAGAGGCGATCAGACTTCATGAAGCTGGTGGTAAGAGTCTTTCTCTACCGATATGGGAGATTGCATTCAGTGAATTCCTGCTTACTGTTGCCTTTCCACAGAGCTGGAACAGTCGACAAACATGTTTGCACGATTAGCGGACCCCAATGGTGCCAACAATGCCCTAAGTCAGGTGCTCTACGGGCTTGCTCTGAGGTAAGGGTCGTGGTTGCCCTGGGAGCATACCGTTTTTACAAATAAACTTCTCTTCTAACTTCAGACCGATCATCAGGCATGGCTGGGGCTGCACTCCGGACCCAGAGACAGCGGTGAACTATCTTTCCGCTGCGGCGTCCAACTCGGCATCCATCGAAGCCCAAGCTCTCGAGGCAGGGCTCAAGAAAGGCGGCGCCGCCAAAGGCGAGCTTGTCCTTGCTATTTTCGAGTTAGGAAACTGCTTCCGCAATGGCTGGGGTGTGAAGAAAGATCCGGCAGCGGCGCGACAGTACTTCGAGACAGCTGCCAATCTAGGCGATGCGGATGCCATGAACGAAGCTGCCTGGTGCTACCTCGAGGGTTTCGGAGGCAAGAAAGACAAAGTAAGTGGCTGGCTGAATGATCTTCCTCTACGCAAAGCCGTGGCCCTCATCTTTACTTGGGCATCCATGCTGTTATCTCGCTTCACTGTTCTGGCACCGTTGAACCCTAATCCATGACTCGCCAATCTTCCATTCAGCTAATCCCCTCTCCTTCTTAGTTCATGGCTGCGAAATATTACCGATTGGCTGAGGGTAAAGGAAACAAGATTGTGGGAAATTCTTGGTACGTCGACTCAAGTCCTTTGCTGCCTTCTCCTTCATGTGTTGCGCGAAGCATCAAACAAATATCTTGACAAGGAGTCTTACAAACAATATCTGCGACATGGTATGATGATCAGTATGCTGCATGCATGGATCACGGCTTCGGCAATGTCTGGGGAGCGGCAGCTGCAGCTCAGTTGATAGGTTCTCCTGGTATCTTCTGCAACTGCGCCATGCAATCCGGCGTCACCGGTCCAGCCAACCATAGCCCCATGCTCACCAACCTCCCCTCTTTTGCTATCCCGGAAAAATTGGTCCAGAAGCTGGATTCAGGCTGACATTGACCTTGGCTTTTCTAGGATTTGGAAAGACAAATACGATCCCAAGTAAATCCGGCATCTCCCAGCCCTTCTCCAAAACGGGTTGGCGCTTGTAATCGCGAACCGTCTAGGCGCCCCAGCATAGCCCTATCACGCCCCCCAGGGCCCCCACAGCCCGCTTGGTGCTTCCGGTTCTCATACATACAGATGGGTCAAACGTCCGTTAGTGTTTATGCTCTGGGGCTGAAAATGCACGCATCACATCATTGCATCGCAGTCGCAGCTCCTGCTCAGCGGTCCAGACTACGGCGGCTCCGGAATCATCAGACCAAATGACTTTTGATTACTGGATTGCCCTTTCCCGCTGCACGCAAGGCGCAAACCAATACGAATCTGTCCTCGAGGATCGACTGACATCTTCCCTTTAGTCGCTTGGACCACGCAATCCCCTCATAGTAGGCTCAACGTTCTTCCCACCATGGAAGGCAGGGGAGATCCCCCGCCTTGGGTTCGTGACCCAACGCACCTGAGATTCGAAGCCTCATCTTTCTTGGTGGGAACCCAATCTCTTAGGCGATCTAGACCTTCGTGCTTTGTTTCAGATTTTGAACCCTACAGCCATTTATCGTGTCATATGCCTTATCCTATTCGCTTCTATCTGTATCTCGTTTATCTACCGATATCTCTTCTTCCTCGTTCAATTCGCGGATGATATTTCTCGCTTCGGGACCTCCGGAAGTATGAAGATCTCGAAGTGGGCAAGGGAGCCCCTACCGACCGGGCAGGGACTCGACCGTCTGTCTGCGGTCATCGTATGTTTTGTTTTATCCAAGTAGTCCACGGAGTATATCTCAGCCACTTGGTTCACCCATCTGAAACCGCGTAATTCCTCCGTTTAAATACTTTACGGTCAGGATCGAAATAAGCAGTACACCCATAGAAACAGCCGCTATAGCACACGCCATCCAGGTAACTCGCACCCGAGGGGTACTTAGTGCTCCGTACTACCTGCTTACTCGCTTATCCCCCTCACCAACCTCCGGGACTCCTCTGCGGCTCCTTCCCCTCTTTCACCCACGGTGACCCTCCAGCTGCGCACAGCCCACGCTATCTCTGTATTCCGTGAGTCCGTACGATGCCCACCAACCTGTCAAAAGTACGGTAGGTCGCACACGAGAGACCGGATCCCACCCACCCTCCATCTCCCGGAGTCTGCAGTACAACGCGAGATCGCCCATCGTTCATCCCCACCGAAACACTCCAGCGAACCCTTCGCCCAGTAGGAAGTAGACGGCCTCGCCTCCCGACACATGATGTACGCAAATACATCCATGGCGCGCTGGGCCGAGTGCTCCGTACAATGGATATGTGTGGGGTGCCGGGTTGATCCATCGTTCGTCACGCAGCAGTAGTAGCAGCGAGTCGCGACGGACGGAGGACATGGTCGCCCGCGGTGTCTACGGGGTGTGGTATCGGTATCACCATCGGACTCTACTCCGGAGTAAAGTCTGTTCGTTCGAACGAGATCGGATCGTCGATATTTGATGGACTGGACTCCAGACCGGGGTCCGGAAGTGGTGGGCGCGGTCCCGGCCGCGAACCTCAAGGAGTCAAGGCGAACAGGCTGAGTGAATGACTCGTGAGCCGCGGCCTGAGTCGTGGGACCTAGACCTGGACTGCATGGAATACCGTACTCCGTATCTATGATAGTCGTCCATTGTAACCCGTACGGACCTCATATTACTCCGTTCTTACTATAGAAAGCGAAGACTTTTCCAGAATTTGCCTTTTTGGGCGGGGTTGGGGATCGTTTGCCTTCTTTTTCCACTCTAGAACGTTCAACAAAGGCGGGAGAGTCGGCTTTTGTGCCCGGCCGCGTGATCGCTATGTACTGCGGCACTGCAGTCTAGGTATCTCCGGTGTAGAGACGGGAAAGGACCGAGGCCAAGGAAGGCGTTGTGGGTATTTACTAGAATCTTACGGAGTACGTCTCCGAGAACAAAGCACGTGGGGGTCCAAATGGATCAAGTCATCAGTCGTTATGTTTGTCAATATATACAGTACAGGTTTGTTTAGGTCCAAGAATGGTAAGATGAAGCTGGTACACACGCTTTGAGCCACAAAAGAAATCGTTTTGAGTGTGAATGCTTCAAGGAGTGGAAGGCCGGTCTGATCTATATCTGTCTGGAGGGTGTGACCCAAGCCAGATCGAGACAGACCAGACCGGGAGAAAACAAACAAGAGCAAAGGGTGACCCTGTCGGAGTATATAGAGACAAACAAAGGAAATGATGAAGATCGGACAAGGAAGGTAGAGGTAGGTAAAGTAGGGTAAGAATGGAAAACGCTGAAAAGACCACCCCGGTGGCAGCCCCGCTGCCCAGAAACAGGAAAAGAAGAAAAAGTAAACAAGTATCATCAGACATTAGAAGGACATCTCGGTTCATAAACATATCAGTCGTATCATCAGTAATCGTAACACAATTGCCGTCCTCGTCCAGTCGTTTGATCCAACCCGCATATGCAACATAAAATCATCAAAAATAAGAACCCCAAAGATAGGATGTAAAGAAGTAGAATGAACAAATGTTGTCTTCGTTCGGCTCTGATCCGACTTTTTCGGTGGTTCAGAGTAAGAGTAGCTGAGGACGCCGAGCCCTCAGCTCATGTCGGACTACCCATAGTGCAGTAGAATGACGCCGAACGAAGGGAAGTACAGAGTGTACAGAATGCAGAAGCGCTTTGGCGGCCTGTGAGATCCGTTCCAAGGCATGATCCGGACGCTGATAAAACCACGTGTACGCCGGTAACCCGCAGAAAAGTATCAAAACATCGCTAAATTGTCGCACAGTCATGAAAAAGCTAGTCGATAACATATATCCAGGCGAAGGAAACGTAAGCTGTTCTATGCATGTATATGGCTAAGTCTGGCTAAAGCTGGCCAAAAGTCGTGTATCGTTAGATTTGTCATTGAGAAGGACGTCAAAATCGTGGGTGAAGGTAAAGTGAGAAAAGCAGATTGGTCTCTTGGAGGAACGGGGGCGGCAGAATGGGAGCTGTCTTTGGATCGCTGATGTGGGAACTCCTGGTCTACTCAGGCTAGGGGAAGCCTGAAGCTTATTCTCTGGCGGCAGGAGCGCCGTATTCCTGAACCATTCGTCGGAAGTCGCGAATCACCTTTTCAGGAACACGGTCCCACATGAGGGACCGGGAGTAAACATCAGAGGTAGCCTTGTGAGGCATCCTGGCCTGCGCTGCATTGCTCCTCATCGCAGCCAATGCCTGCTGTAGATTAGTAGGCTGCTGTGACTTGTAGCCGGCGCCAGTTTCGTCAAACGTGGTGAGCGAGTTATATTGTTCAGCGTTGAGAGCAAAAAGCTGCTCCTGCTCCTGTTCCTTGGTTGGCATCGCAAGACTCTCGTGAAGCTCGTCCAGGTTCGACGTGGAGGCTGACCCCGTCATCTGAGCCATCTCCGCACCGGTAATAGTGGTGGGGAGCGGACCAGCAGACGACGAAACGGCAGGCTGGTTTGACGAGTGCGTAAGCTCTGGGGGTGACGAGGCCAGCACCGCCTTGAGAACATTGGCAGACTCTGCGCGGTATTCCTCAGAGAGACGCGGAAGGGAGCGAGCCGGAAGGGAAGCGCTGTTAGAGGCAATAAAGGCACCGAAAAGGAGGCACATGTAGAAAGCATTCCAGCTGAAAGGATACTCGTTGTTGGCGGTCTTTTCGGAGGCTTTCTCATTCGCGGCAACGACCATAGCTTGCGAAGGCTGAGCGGCATGGCCGACGGGGTCTGCGTCCAGAGAGAGGCCGTTGACCATGGTAAAGTCTTCCCAGGGGCTGCTCTCCATGGTCAAGTGCTCAAAGTCGGAAAATTCAGTGTGAGCGTTAGATTTCCCATGGCGCTCCATTTTTTCTACTGTCTCTTTGAGAACATTGTTCTTCTTTCGAAGATCGGCTGTCTCCAGGGTGTGAACGCGGATGAGTTCGTCCTTTTCCATATGCAGGCTGTTGATGTACTCCGAGATCTTCTGCTGTGTAGCCAACCATTCGTCCTTCTCGCGAAGAAGTTCAGATTCGCGCAGTCTCATATTTTGTAGCTCCTCCTCGAGCTCGTTGATGGCCTGCGTGAAATGTTTCTTTTCTTCCTCAAGTTTCTCGGTGTGGAGCTTCTTGCGCTGTCGAGAATCCAAACTAAACACCTATTAGCCCTTCGAAGCAGAGACTGTAAACGGGATGTCACTTACGCGGCCTGACGGTTCCTCAACAAGCGTTTCTGTTGCTTCAGCTCCTTGATCTCTTCCTCGTTGGTAGACTGGTTGATGAGATGGTCGATATTGTTTAGAGTCCTCTCGGCCGGGATTTCGAAGCGAGCGTTCTTCTTCCGAATGCCATCGCGACGGACGCTGAGAGGGGAGCTATTTCGGTAGGTAGGGCTGTTCTTTGGTCGAGAGCCATGATCAGGTATGTCGGTCGATGCCGGCATCCAGCCCTGACTTGACTGCGGTGACATGGCGACAGCCCCCGACGGCGCGAAACCCATGTGCGGACGATATGACATGGACGGCATACTGACAGTATTTACCGGGCCGACAGCACCACCAGCGAACGGAGCGACCGAAGTATTTTCCATCTCGGTGGGGTAATGCTCATACATAGCAGATGGTGTACATGAACCAGAGTCTTTGGAGATCGGCCACTGTTGAGGATGAACGTAAGGCAGTCCATCCATCCTCATGAAAGGATTTGGGGCAGATTCAAAGAATGGGTGGCCGACTTGCGAACTATGACGAGACTGGGTGCTGGATACTGATTGGGAGAAATCGGACCAGACTGAGTCTCGATGTTGGAAGGTGTCTGGGCCCTGCTCGTACGAATGCCTTCGGTGGTCGGCAGCGGATGTGAAGTCTGGGGACGTTGTATCAAGGATCTTGTCGTCTAGTACGCTCATTTCGTCGTCTTCAGGATATGATGATGATGACTGTGTCTTTACGTCCAAGGTGGAGGGATGCTGGTGATAAAAGTCAAAGACTGGTTGGGAATATCTTGCCATGACTGGGCAAATGAGACGGAGCGAAGAGCGACGAAGAAGAAGAGCCCTTGAGGTGATACAAGAGGCGGTGTGTTGATGTGCGGGGTGGGGGTACAAGAATAGATGTAGAAGAGAGGTAGATGGACGAGGATATGAGAGATGAGATGAGGAGAGGGCGGAGGAGGTGATGATGCGATAGATGAAGAAGACAGGAGGCCAGAGGCAGATACCGCAGAGCGATGTAGAAGGCAGGTGATGGAGTGGGAGGGGAAAGTGAATATAACTACCTGATCGCGTTATGGAGAGGGCAGAGGGTTGTGTACCTGAATCCGTTCGCCAGGAAAATCAAATCAAAAAGTCAGAAAAAATAGAACAAAATAACATTCAACCCAAGAGTAGCAAAGATCAAATCAATGGCAGAGACTCTGGATCGACCGATTCAGACATTCGGCGGTCAGCAAAAAGTCAAGAACGAGGCGACGATTTCTGAGGGCTTCCGAGCTTAACGGGCCTCGATTATTGGATGCTTCGTTGGGCAGACGTGCAGCTCGGGGCAGTTTGGCATTCAGAGCAGATGAATAAGCATCAAGAGGAGATCCCAAACAGTCGCTGCCTTAGATAATACTGGGAACCGTGGACCCTCGGGCGATCCATACACTGTAAACAGAGCCGTGGCCTATCAAGCACTCTGCTCGCTGTCGTTTGCGACACCCTCCCGTAACCCGTTCTCGCACGGACGGCCTTCAGGACGATCCAGCAATGGGTATCCTTCCACTACTCACAGCCCGACTCTGAGCCTCCATCACATCCATCCCCGGATGATTGGTTTTCCGCTCCCTCTTCGCCCTCAAACAGTCAATCCTTCCTGTTGATCAAGTGTACCTGAGTCTGCCCCATCTCAGCCGTTCATGCGCCTCTGCTTGAGGACTGAGGATGCTGCCCAAAAGGAAGCCGTCTGTGCGCTTGGTCAGGGTGCATCATCCAACTCCATCTCATGATCGTTTCGCTTCTCTTTTGGGTTAAAGGTAATTTCGGATTACAGAGCCAAAACGCCCAGTCATACGCTCTGCCCGCAGAGAGTCTCCTGTTTGAGACGAAAGAGGGGCAGCGATCAGATGAATGATTGTATAGGCCGTCTTTTTCTCAGCCTGGCAGAACCAATCAATCCCAGCTTAGTGTGACCCTCCCGGCGGCCCATACAAGGTTGGACGCTCATCGCTGCGACAGTGCGACTAGAGGGGTAGGCCGAGGAAAAAGTACTGTACTGACTGTCACTGCCCTTATGGCATTGTGACCCAAGCATGTCATAGTTCCAGCTTCCCTGAAAAAAACCGGTATCTCTGGTACATTTAGGGCCGGCCCGTAGGGATCCAGGGCTCCAGTGATCGATCAGTGACGGGCCCAGTCTGGTTTAGTGTACCAAAGACGTACTCCGTATCATAGTAGTGACTGGCATAGTCACGTACTCGGAGAGTCGGAGCAGGCTCTCCGTGTCCGTGCTCGGCCGATATGGCGATGCTTGTAGTACTACCGAAGCAAGGCGGATGCATGGAATTTCAATCGATTCCGTCAGAATAATTAGACCCCGTCGAGAAACCAATTTGCTTGCTCAGTAGGAACTAGAGGAACTTATTAGTGCCCCTCCTTCCTATTGCGGCCGTTCTGCTCGAGCTTACCGTCAGTCTCCCAAAGACGAGCTGCCATCTATCGGACCGCGGTCCACGCATAATCCAAAAAGAGTAAGGAATCAACTCTCAGTGATCTCCCAGGCGGGGTGTCAACCGGGACGTTGTCGGAGATTGCTGAGGAGCATAGACATCATCCGTCCCACCGTGTCCACGCAATTGCCGGAGTATTGCACGTTGATAGGGGATTCCTCGAGGGCTGTTCGAGCCAAATGGGTGTCGCACAGGGACAAGGCGGGTTGATTGCGGCAGAGCTTCGCTGAGACGAGGGCGATCGATAGGTTCGTCCGGTGTTGCGCATGAAGTCACTGCATCCTTACGTGCCGGGTCACGGGGCCGCAAGACACTCCTCGACTCAGTTGACTTACTCACCCAGACACTCTATTTAGGTCTACTCGGAACGGGCAGGCAACGAATGCGCCTGATGCATTAATTGGCAGTATTGGCACAGTTTGGTTGTTAGGAGGACCGAATCATGTCGATGTCCTCCTCGGGCAATGCTGTCAGAGCGCATAACTCGGCGGGTAGTACAGCGTGACTCTGCATCAGATAAGATGAAACATCAATCAGGGCGTCACTGGTCCTGGTCCACCGTTATATGCAGGAGGCATGATTTGCTCTCCTTCTCGAAGCATCATCGTCAAGCTACCTTCCTGGTCAAGGCACTCCATCTCCCGAGGCCCGCCGTCAACTGGAGAACTACGAAACGTATCTACTCCGTACTTCTGTCTCCAACGAGTCCATCTTTACGGACCAAAGACTCTGAGTCACACTGAACGCGTTTCAGAAGTCGCGAATACCACCAGACGTCATCGCCTCTGCCACGTTCTCCAGCCTGACCGTCGTCGATTCGCGAAGTAACAAATGCCGGTGTCCATGGAACAAAGACCACGGCACCTCGCCCATGTCTGCGAGGTACTTGAATCAATAATAGGAGCAGACAAAAAGGAAGTGGCGAGGTGCCAGATAAGCGAATGGGAACTCTCCCGTCGCCCTTTGGTCTCGTCCTCATGCCTACATTATTTGATATCGTGGATTATTCAAGGCCCAACCCGTGGATCCCGGCGTGCGCAATTCCTCGAGATGGTATCACGATGAGAACCTTCTTTCTGCCTCGACAAGTTAGATGCGCTGGGCCTTCGACTTCGTTCGGACAAGTCATCCTATGACCTCTTGGATCCTTCTTTCCTTTCGAAGCATATGCTCCCGCGGCGACGCAGAACTCAGAAAGACAGTAGTGAGGCTTTCTCCTCCGAACCTTTCGCTTTGGTTTTCTGAGACCGGACGATACTCTATATCGAGAAGGCTCACCCTACGGTGACGCTGCTAGAGACGCCATTCTGGCGGTGTACAAGCGCGGCTGATCCAATTGCAGGACAGGGCGCGATCATTCTGTGGAGTGTTTAAATCTCTTCACCCAAATCAGGACATCCAAAACATCTCCGTAGATAGTCCTTGGCTCCATTCTAACGTCTATGACCGAATGATATGTTATTGCTCTCGGGCGAGTCGGAATATAGACTCTACGAGGCATCATTACCTTACGGATACAACATTAGAGATCGCTAACAAGGAGGAAAACAAGGCTTGAGAGGAATCTGCCTTTCAAGGTAAGTAATCTTCCGAAACTCAATAGTCATACAAGGCAGAATCATTCATGATGTTAAAGGAACGTTAGCCGAATTATGGCTGACATTGGCTTAGTTCCATGAACCATGCCGATCCTTCTCGGACCAGCTGCACGATCTAGTGCCCAACGTTGATTCTGAACTTTAACGGTGATACAATCTGGTCATGCCATTGCTGCTTATAGATTGTTCTACAATGGACATATCTCATGCACGAGACATAAATGGTCGTTGTGCACGAAGGACTCCAAGAAACGCTGCGTCGCAAGCTCAAGGTCCGCGCGCGGTGCACCATTACCCTGAGTTGCGCAAAGAGCGGTAAAAGAGCCCAATCAGGTACTAAGACTGGGACGGAAATCTTGATGTCGAAAGTATCAAGGAGTTACGGTCGAGGTTCAAGACTTTCGACATCCAGGCTCGGTTTCAGTTGTAGTTCTCCCAAGCAGCGGTCAAGAATTGGAATATGGACTCCTCGGCCTCGATTCTACGGATATTTCATGTGAATCTGAGATAGGAGTATTACTTGAAATGGGAAATGTATCCTGACTCAATGATTATGTGGATTCTTTCTAGAAAGTTGGACTCCGTTCTCCATGTGGTGTGCTCGGACTTCTCCGTATAGTTCCTGGATATCTGCTTGCCGGCACAACCAGCACAAAACAGATTACCTCAACAAGAAGACATGCTGAACTAGCCAGGTACTACAGACGCCCTAGGCGCCAAAGACCTTACAGTGAGAACTGAATGCCGGGTCCCGGTAATGCAGGATCCAGCATTCAGCGCCCGACTGAAAGATGTGCACGAACAAAGAAAGACTCGGCCCTCGAGGCTCGCAGTCCACCTGCCTGCCTGCGGTAATCTCCCCTGGACCACCGCACGTTCCAACTACAGAGTTGGGCCCTAGCTTGCCAATCTCAATCTCTACAACAAATGAACCATGAAGAGAATCGCCTGGCCCCTCAACGCGTGGTTAACGCAGCAACACACTGCGGATGTACCCTGAACTCCGCGATGGCATTCATGCCCATCTCCAGCTTCGCAACATACTAGCCCTCTCAAGTCTAGTGCAAGTATTGCCTCGCATTGCAGCAGTCTAGTCTACATCCACACTCACAGATCACCCCAAGGGTCAGAGCCAAAGCTGAAACCAAAGCAGAGCAATGCAATGCAGCTTTCCAGTCGATCCCGCCATCCGAGTGGCCGTGGGCAATGAGGCCGACTGCTCCACAGGCCACCTGGACCAGTAGGCATTTGACAGCCCGGGGACCAGGTACAGATACATGCTTCGTACAGCGTGTCTTCGGTAGCCTGCATAGCCAGGGCATGGCATGGCGATGCAATGCACGAGTTGGGTACTATATTAGTTGATGTGGGTAAACATCCTAGTGCGAATCCTGCTGGGCGGTTACTACCTGACGTAAGTTTGATTTGGAAGTTGGGGCTTTCTTTGAATTGGAGGTCGGTCTGGTAGTGACTCATACTTCTGGGTGAGAGTGAGGGGAGTCGGATACTTGGGGATGCCCCGGGAAGAAGACCATATTGCGGGGTTCTCGACTTACTCTAGAAAAAGAAAGAAGGTAGGTAAAGCTAAGCAACTTCATTGAATTCCTAATCTCGTCATGAATGAAGATATTCTACAACCTTGATAACCATCCAATACCGCGCCATATAACTCCCGAAAGAAACTGCGAGAATCATGCCGTACAAAGTCGAAGAGGGTATCTGGGGTATCTTCAAGAAAGCAATAACGAGTGGATAGTCAACTATGTATCCAAACTGAGAGGATTCTCGCTCTATCCGCCCTCCTCGTGGCCCCGTCCGAACGCCGAATGCGAGCCAGCCCAGAGATTACAGACTGCAAGTTAGTGATGGAGTACAATCAAAGCCGGATAAAATCCTGCTGCTTCGAGACTTCACCAGTTTCTGTTCCTTCAATGAGTTCTGCCTCATCCGAAAGGTAATCCGAGTCGACATCATCGGAGCCGATTTCGTCGAACTCCTCTTCATCGCTGGAAGCATCGGATTCATCGTCACCTTCAGCTTCTTTAGGAGCAGCATTCTTCCGAATCTGTCCTGCGCGGTCAACATGGGGTAGTCGGCAGTGCTTCTTCTTGCAAACACCCGTGTTGGCATAGTCAGGACACTCGTGAACATGTCTCTCCTCGCACATCTCGCCCTTCTCACAGTATCCCAAGGTCGCAAAAGCCCTGCATACTGGCGCGCCAGGGGTGACTCGTACGTGCGCATAGCGACACTCAGGGTTAGAACAGCGACCTCGAAGGAAATGCACACATGCAGGAGACCTATGAGGTGATGGTTCATGGGACAAATCACAACTATTACCTGCGCTACACTTGCCAGTTTGAAGGAAGTCTTTGCAGATAGCGACTTTGTCGGGATCGTGGATGTATAGACATGAAGGCCCCTTGTAGCAGGTACCTAAACAAAGCCGTTGGTTAGCACAGCTCCCTGGGATCCATGCAATGGCAAACCGAATGACAAAAATGGAAACCTGAAAGTTTGGAGGGAAGAATGGGTACCCGTCGTAGTGAATCTTTGGCATAGCTCGTCCTTTTTCTTGACTGCCGAGGGCATTCTGCAATCGTTAGTCTGTACTAACAAAGAGCGAATCGGACCAATCACCTTTTCGATGTTACTGCACCTAGTCGATGAAGATTGCCGTTCTTGCTCCGGACGAACGTCACTCCAGCAACCTTCACCCTCTTCGGCGTATTGTTCGCAGTGTTCGGGTCATCTAATATATGTAAGCCAGCTCTCTCTACCAGCATGGAATGAGTGGGAATCGCACTAGAAACTCGGATCAGCTTGCCACCACCGCGGGAAACACGAAATGGTATGTCGTTGAGAAAGATCTGATACTCCCCAGAAGATTCTCCAGGTACAGCGGCCTGAGGCGCAGAGCTCGAGGCAAACTGTCTACCCGCGCCCTGTGCGAACTGCAGCACCTTCGTCTGCTCAATCTGAGCCTTCTTCTGCGCTTTCGCTTTACGCGTTTCTTCCAGAGCCTTAACTCTCTTCTGGGCCTCTTTATCATAGACGGCGGAATTAATCAGTTGCATATGTCGCGCGTGCTTCGTCACCCAAGAATTTGGTGTCGCCGAGCGACTAGTCTCATCAGTATCTATTGCCATTCCGTCAGGCGTCGAGCTTTGCGAAGCGGGGGTCGTGGAGTTGTTGAGGATAAGGGTACGGTGACGGTGAGGGGCTGCGCCACGTCCTCGACCATATGGTCGCCCACGATAAGGTGCCCAGCCTGGTCGACCGCGGTAGGAGGTGTGCCGCGCGACATGCGGACCGGAGTGCAAATCATTGTGAGGCGACTCGCTTGGAGTATTTCCATTCTTGAACCTGTTGATCTGGCCTGTGGAAGTTAGCAGCTTGAATTGGTCAACATGTCTCGCAGAGCGCGTACCAGCAAGCTGACTGATCTTGGCCATCAAGTCCTGGTCCTCGGACATCTTGGCCACAACTTCAGTACTTCTCTGTTAGCTTGACAAATATCTTCACCTTTGCCTTAATGCTGCGGTGGTGGGATTAGACTCGAGGTAGAGTGATGTTGAGGGGGTAAAGTGATGAAAGCTACAACTCCGCAGTGGCGCATATTATGAATGAGTCACGTGCACGTGCCCTCGCCGTCACAGGGCATAGAGTACGTAGTCCACTGTGCAACTAAAGGCTAAGCGAGAATGAGATGATACTAAACTGAAGTTATGATTGTATGTATGATGTGATTATTATTGACAGAATACCCAAGCGCCTGATTGAATAATCCATACCCCCAGAAAACGCCGGAAGTGCATATGCTACAGTAGAGAAACTTCTCTAAACCACATTTTCAAACTGCATGTCATCGTTATCCATGCCGGAAGCCATCGCATCGGTCTCTGAGCCCTCGTCAAAGTTGTAATCGAGACCAGGAGCGGCTTCTTGCTTGACATCCACAGCATTCGAGTAATTGCTCTCTCTCGCCTCCGGCTTCAGCTCCCACGTCATGGCAAAGTCGCCGGATTTCACCAAGTGGGCAATCATCTCCAATGTCTGCTTAAGATAAGCCTCCGGTTGCCGAAGTCTAGCTTTGAGTGTCTTAAAAGGCCAGTATCTGTACTCCCGGAAGCACTGGTAAATAAGATCCAGCAGCTCGTTCTGGGGCATACGAGTGGTCTTGTTTTCTTGTGCTTTGAGTTTCGTTGGCTTCGTCGCTTGCTAGAGACATAGTTAGCCGGAGTTTGAAGGTGTATGCGATTCCGAAACATACCACAAATGCGCCCTGGTCTCCAGGCAGAGCGTGTCTCTGGTTGAGCAACTTGGCTGGCATCTTGTCGACGTACTTGACTTCCCGCCTCGGCTTCAGAGCTTCCAGAGCCTTCTTCTCTGACAGGATCCTGAATTCTTCGTTCTCAACGGGGAGGCAGTTGAACTCTTCCTTCACATGTCCCACGAGAGCAGTCCGCTCTAACACCGGGTCAGCACACACCCAGGATTCTACCAGACCGTACACATACTTGGAATTGTTTTCCGAACGTAAGGCTCCCATTTATTCTTCCTCTCTTTTCTCCTCGCCTCGCGCTTCATCGACTCGTATAGAGCAGACCGCGTCTCACCAAAGGTTATCATCCGATTTTCGTAGCCAGGAATGTCCTTCTCCGTAAAGAGATATGTGTTCTGAGTCATGTGTAGCAAGTTCTCCGCATTCACCGTCTGCCGCGCCAAGACGTAGTCCTTCGGAATGTCGCGAGTCTCCTCTGTTTCGTTGAGGCGCAAACTGACCTACAAATCACGCTTAGTTAGCCGGCTTCGAGTCTGGTGAGTGAAAGTCCTGCGCAAATCCCCACCCGTTTAGGATTCTTCATATCTCCCTCAATCCTCACTGTGCCGATTTGAATTTCCTCGTCATCATCCAGCTTGGACCAGTGTTCCCAAAGCGACCGCGGTATTCGAGAAAGCCATAGACTCTGTCCCGCACTCGCGAAATCTAGATCGCCATCATCCTCGTACAGATCCTCGTCGTCGATATCGGCGAGAATAGTGTCTTTGCTTTCGGGATCCGGTTTAATGTAAGGCGAGGAGGCGTCCGGCTCCTGCTTGATAAAGGAAGACATGGCGCCGGGCTTGAGAAGCGGGGTTGGACGAAAGGGCGCAACAACTGTAAGCTTACGGCAGTGCGACTGATGGTACGCAGCTATAAGTGAGCGACTGCAGCGAACCAGCGAATACCTCGACTGAGCAAGGCGCAAGCGAGTGGTTGTTGAGATGATGCAAAGGCGGTTCTGGACTACCGATTCTATGCGTCAAAGAATTGCAGAATTGAGCGCAGCTGAAGGCGGTGAGACCGCTGTACTACCATGCACGCTGCATTGTGACAACTATGAAGAGCGCGCCACCTTAGGAGCTATACAGAGCAAGGAGTAGTCATTAGTACTCTATGTAGAGTCAGAAGCCCTATAGAAGGTAGGATAGCAAGGCTGCTAAGGCTCGCCACGGTCAAGCAAGGTTAAGTATAGTCTACTAAGCTTTTAGTGGTCAGCAAAATATATATCGGATGCCGCCAGGGATATTTCCCTTCCACCTTATTCAACTTCCGAGGAATTCCAACGTTACCATATCAAGAGAGCGTCTCGCTGGAACCTTGATGCTGATATGTGCTCACATAGTATATAGCAGGAAATAGCACCACTTCGAGATCTATTTTGTCCCAATGGCTGCCTCGTCTCCCGTAGCAATACCTACTGTAGGTAGCTCTTATCGATAAGTGCACCTTAACATCGATAAGTGCACAACCATCTCCAGCTTCACCAGCCATCAGCATCCCCACTTCCGAACACCGCAGCTCTAATTCCTCACCAACACGACCTCATGCCGTCTCAAAAGATAACATCCGCCCTCGCGGAGATAGAATCTTCTGCAAACTCTCAAAACAAGTTCCAACTCTACAACGACCTCCTCGCCGAAACCGTATCAACATCGCCCGAACCCCAGCTCGCCGACGACCTCATCTACTATCTCGACTCAGTCCTAAGCGAAGATCTCAGCATCGTCGCCGCCCGCCCAATCCTCGACTCCTTTATTGAGATCCTACGGAAACTCACACCTGAGACCCAAATCAAAGTCGGCCAACACGCCGTGACCCTCCTCCAGTCCCGATCCACGTCCGTCGAGGAGCAGGACGCCCAGATTCGCGAGATCCTAGCTGACGCATACGAATCTGAGGAGGAGTACATTGCGGCGGCGAAGGCGCTTCAGGGGATTCACATTGACAGCTCACAGCGGCTGGTTTCCGACTCAGCAAAAGTCAAGCTATGGATCCGGATCGTGCGATTATACCTAGAGGAAGACGACACAACTAGTGCGGAGGCATTCCTCAACCGGATCAAGAACCTGCCGAGCAAGATCGAGGACCACGAGTTGAAACTACACTTTCGACTCTCCCAAGCCCGAATCCAAGATGCCCGCAGACGCTTTCTAGACGCCAGCCAGGAATATTTCGCTGTTAGTCTCGCCCCCGGCGTGGATGAGAGTGACAGACTCCAAGCCCTTGCGGCCGCCATTCGCTGCGCCGTTCTCGCACCGGCCGGCCCACAGCGCTCTCGAACTCTAGCAACATTATACAAGGATGATCGCGCAACCTCCGTTGAAGAGTTCGGCATTCTAGAGAAGATGTTCCTCGACCGTCTCCTCACGCCGGAAGAAGTAGCCGCCTTCTCGCAGCGTCTAGCCCCGCACCAGCTCGCACAGACCGCAGATGGAACAACAGTACTCGACAAAGCCGTCGTAGAGCACAACCTCGTCGCCGCAAGCAAGCTTTATGAGAACATCAAGACCGACGCGCTGGGCGCTATCCTCGGCCTGCAGGCTAGTGGGGATCTAACTGCGGGTGAGAAGGCCGAGGCGTATGCGGCGCGGATGGTCGAACAAGGGCGGTTGAGTGGGAGCATTGACCAGATCGACGGCATTATCTACTTCGAATCAAGTACCACTGCTACAGGGCGCCATATAAGGCAGTGGGATGCTGGTGTGCAGGGACTCTCGGAGGGGGTGGAAAGGGTAGCGACTAACATTGCGGAGGGCCATCTGGTATGCTGATATTCTTCTGATTTGGACAAGCTGAAATGACGATGGAGCGAGTACGCTAACATCTCTTGTTTTCTCTATCTAGAATTCCACTGCACAAACAGCTCACTAATACGAAGCGGCAACAGTCAGACTATTAATGAAGCTCATGATTGAACACTCATAATGAAACCAATACCTCCTGTAAGAGCATCGACAAGCTGGATTACCCAAGCAAGGGAGCCATCTCAATACATTGATTATCATCTTTCACATGACTAAAAGCTGCGTGACGACCTCAATCATAAACACTCATATTGGGTATAAGACATTACATTGACACCATTACATGGCCTCCATACATAGGTAGCAGAGGTAACCAGCCCTCGACTTCAAATTCAACATACCCGTCGCCACTTGACATACCCAACGTAGGTCAGACCAACCAGCGGTACATGTACCTGCTTACTCTGCAGGTGCCTGTCCTAGAGTATAGACCATAACTCAGGTCTGCGCTTCGGCGGTCTTCCGTCGCCAGGACGAGAGACCGCGCGCGTCGGGAGGTATTCGACATGTCGTCTCATCCAGAATACTGTCGCGCGTGCATAGCAAGAAAGGGATGTGTAAATCGGAGTCCAGACTCGAGGGCCTTGACATAGGGCGAGATCCAAATTAAGAGCCGTATTTCAAACTTGATTATGCGATCGAATGGACTGCCCGCTATTCTGCACGACATCGATTTCCGTGCGAACCTCAATAGCCAGCGGGCTTGGAGGACTCTGGAAGCTAGAGATATCACGAGGAGAGCGAGAAAGTGAGAGGGACCTATCCGCGCGCTCCTCAAGCTTGAATGCAAAGAATTTCTCCGAAGCAGGCGACTTTGCGGCTGAGAGGGGGATCTGGGAGATCGAGGTATCGGTTCGGTCTGTCGGGACATAGTACGCTGCGTTGTCCTGGCGAGCCCCTGATAGCTTGAACTGCGGGAACAAGCCACGAATGATGGGGAGGCAGGAGCATGTCAGACCTATGGACGGCTCGATGTGTGTCCATAGCGTTGCTTTGTATACTGTGTATGTAACGTCCGCGGGGTCGATCCAGAAGAGCACGACGATGCGGTAGATAGAGGCAAGGCAGACGATACCGCCGATGGCAAAGACTCCATTCAGCGCGAGCTTGTCTTGCCACGAGCGTTGGAGGTTCCAGATCATTGGGATTGGGAGGGCGAGGATGGCAAAGTCCACGAGGACATTGAAGACTTGATTGACGATGATGAACTTAGTGCTGTCGAAGCAGGTGCCGGTTATGGTGTGGTCCCAGTACGCGCTTAGGGGGCGGCATTGGAGGCCACAGGCGACGAAGATGGCGGCGCCCCAGAGGGCGATTATCATGTTCATAACGAGCGAGGTCCACTGGAAGGAAGGGATTGTGAAGACGCGGCGGTAGAAGCAGACAAAGGAGATTTTGGTGAGCGGGCTGAGGGCAAAGTAGGTAAATTGGTTTGCTAGGAAGATCTGAGGACTGAGTTAATGATAGTCCCTTGGTCAGGGTTGGGTTTGAAAGCACCTTGTAGAAGTTCTGGATTGTTTCCTCGCTCAAGTCTGCCTGGTGAGAGCCGTTACCTCCAATTAGCACCCCTACGGTGCGGTTAGTGACTGTTCTGAAGGTATAGCGGTGCGTAGCATGTAGACATACACAAGACGAGCTCAACAAGCATTCCGAGAAGCAATATGGCGGAAAGGAAACAAAGATAGTCGTCCATGCCAAACCGAACTCTCCTTCTGTATCGAGCAAGAATCCGAAGAAGAACAGCAGCAAGGGATAAGGCAACCAGCACCGTCACGATTGCTATCATAGCACCACCTCTATGAGTTAGAGCCATCCTGGGGGTCGAGTAACGCGTGAAAAGTCCTAGACAGAACGAAGGTCTGGGATCAAGGAAAGTATAGTCGGGATGTTTCAAAACACGAAAGTGAGGAATGGAGCAGCACCAGGCTAGATATTATCGGCGACTGCCCAGTCCGACGGAGAAAAACAAGCCAGGAAAGAAGAAGATTTTGGAGGAATAGGTTTAGGGTAAAGGGTATATGTAGTAGCTCATCTGTTCCAGGCTCCCGAGTGATGAAACTACAAGATGCCCCCAGAAACGGTCAGTCCGATCAGCAGGGTCGGCGGCACCTACTCGCTGTATCCATGCTCCAGTCTTCGGCAGTGGCGGACGAACCGGCATGGAAGGGACTCTGGGGCATAGTGCATAGCTTATTTCGGCGCGCAGAGATTGTCAAATAATGCATGTGTTCAAGCGGCCTATTTGCTGCTTTGAGATATGGTGCAGATATGAGGAAGGCACTGTCAACTTCTGAAGACATGATTGGCCTCTCAAAGAGAAATAACAGGAGTGTCGTCATGCATATTGGTTCTTGAGCATCAATGAGCTGTGGAACCCGGAGCAATATGCCTGTCAAGCGAAGATCGACCACACTATGCCCGTTCGATAGATCGCCACGAACCACGGCCCAAAGCAAGCTAAGAGTAAGCTTAGTTGGAGTGCTGTCACCCGTGCCCGCCTCGAGCAAGACAGTGGATCTTATCATGGTACTATTTGAGTCAAATGTGTGCCTTCGACGCCTGAACGCGCAATGCCAACTATTAGGTAGCCCATACTATATCGAGGTCCAAGCAGCAGTGTGGGATATCCTGGATGTCGTCTCCTGCAAAACATGCCTCAAACAGCGTAGACCGAACGAGTCACGAGACTGAAACTTGTCTCAGTTACCGAATTTCTGGGAGCAAGGACGTTGGCAATCTCCTAGGGCTGCGGCGGATCCAGGATGCGACAATTGGCTGACAGGTGAGCGATCAGTGATCACAAGTGCGCTTTTGATATTTGGATGTCTTATGCCGATTGTGGTCCATACTTAAGCCTCAAGGGTCGAGACCGTTGATATGCATATTCGGTATAGAGTAATATGGCCGACCTCTGAAGGTGACCGTCGCGCAGGAAGCCCTCCCGAGTCGGAGCGTGAGTTTGATAGCTTTTTGGTGCTCTGCTGATCTGCAGTTGAGCTTCCAGTTGCGTGCAATGGGCCTCCACGGATACACCATGTGCCAATAATGAGCTTGATGAGCATAGTGATGATGTTGACGGATGAGGGGTGAGGTGTTGGTGGGCGGAAACGAGAGCGCAACCGAAGATCATCCCGGCGCTTCTCTTCCAAGGTTCCCCAACCACCTGCTCTCCTCGTGCCGACTGAACGGTCAACAATCACCGACTCAGCGCTCTTACCGAGCCAAGTCATGATTGCCATCCTTAACCAGGTCATCATCCAATGGATGATCGCATTATCATCGGCTTCGACTTCGAGAACGAGATGTTTGCGCCGACTCGACCGTTGATCCAGGGGATACACCACCCGGGATCTTCACCTTCTATACCGGAAAAGTCGTGGTTTGATATGGATTGACTCTTCCAAGCTTCAATGCTTTCGTGGATTCAATGGATCGATAGTAGTGTCGGTTATTGGCAATAATATGGGGTAGACTGTTCACCAGGCCCATGCACTCGGTAGCTACCAGGATGTTGGCAATACTATGGCGGAAACATCCACGATAACGTTCCACACGGGCTCCTGGACACACCATCATCATGGACATGTTCGATTCCGGGATCAGATGACTGACAGCTCCCCTCTCTACGCTTCTTGCCGCCTTGCCAGAATTTCGTGTTCTCTGTCCTCGGGACTCGGTTGGAATTTTAGAAATTGGCACGGACGGGCCACGGCCCACAGCACGGCACTTGCACCCACCTGCTCCCACTCGAATGGAGCTAGCTCCACGTTTTGCGCCGCGTGCTTTGTCTACCTATGGGGTAAAATTGGTCCAACTACTGGAGGCGGCGAAGAATAAGCACTAGGCTGCGAGGGGTACCTAGACTACCGCGATAAAAACGCCTCTCTGCCTTGGTGGCATGATGCATGGTATCCTGACTGCACCAGCCGTGGTTGCTTAACAAGATCAAGTGCACATCCCTCGTATTTCGCGATAACCTCGTGGCCTGGTATCTTGGTTGATCGTCGATTGACTCGCTTCCCTGACAATGGCAACCCCGACTCCCTCGGTAATTCCTTTGATCATCAACGGCAAGGAAGAGCTTGCTTCAGCAACATTCAATGTGATCAGCCCTTACACAAACGAGCCCTGCTGGGCTGCAGCGTCCGCTTCTCCCCAGGATGCCATCCGCGCAGTTGAGGCAGCCGAATCAGCTTTCCCCGCATGGTCCCAGACTAAGCCGACTGTGCGACGAGATATCCTGCTCAAGGCGGCGGAACTGCTTGACAGTAGACTCGAGAAGTATGCCGAGCTTATGCAAACCGAAATGGGAGCGGATGTAGGAGCGTCGCAATTCTTCGTTGTTCCCCTGGCCATCCGTATGTTAAGAGAGGTGGCAAGCCGCATCACCTCAATATGCGGAAGTGTACCTGTTGTCGAGGCGGAAGGACAGAGCGCGATCATCTATAAGGAGCCGATGGGAGTTATTTTAGGAGTCGTGCCATGGTAAGTTTGCGTGCTGTCAAAATTGTATCGGACCAGGACTGACAGTATAGGAACGCACCATACGTGTTCGGGGTTCGATCTGCTGCCTGCGCCCTTGCTGCCGGCAATACGACAATTCTCAAATCGTCTGAGCTCACGCCCTGCTGTTACTGGGCGCTGACTCGCGCCTTCCATGACGCCGGACTGCCAGATGGATGTCTCAATTTGGTAGCCTGTCGCCCCCAGGATGCGGCCGAAGTGGTCAATGCCCTGATTGAGCACCCAGCCGTCAAGAAGGTTAACTTCACTGGAAGCACGGCAGTAGGTCGGAAGATTGCCCGTGTCTGCGGGCAAAACCTTAAGCCGTGCTTGATGGAGCTAGGAGGAAAGAACAGTTCGATCGTGTGCGCCGATGCTAATATCGAAACCGCGGTTAAGTCAGTAATTGCTGGATCTTATTTGAATGTATGAGCAATCAAACCTTGAGGAGGATTTCCGTACTAACGACCTTAGTCCGGCCAAATTTGCATGGCGACAGACCGAATCCTTGTGCACTCGTCCATTGCACCAATATTCGTGGAAGCCCTGAAGAATGCCCTACAGTCAATGTCAGACCCATCGACTCAACCTCCAACCTTGGTCAACGTTGCGTCCAAAACGCGTGTGCAGCGGCTAATTGAGGGTGCCCTCGAAGCTGGTGCTCATGTAATTCACGGACCCGTAGCCACAGAAACCGACGCATCAACTTCTGACTCTGGAGTTCGAATGCCGCCTGTCCTCCTAGGTGGAGTCAGGGAGGATATGGCCGTATGGCAGGAGGAAGCCTTTGCGTCTTTGGCAGCCTGTATGGCATTTGAAACCGAGGAAGAAGCGATCCGGATTGCGAATAGTAGCGGGTATGGGCTGTCAGCGGCGGTATTTACTGAGGATCTGCGTAAAGGGCTGGCAATGGCTAGGAAGATACAGTCTGGGTAAGTCACTTGCTTCCTCTTCTCTTCTGTCAGACTTGGCACCGTTGTCCGGAAGATAAAACTTACAAGTCTTTTCGCAGCGCCGTGCATATCAACAGCATGACCATCCACGACGAGCCAGTCTTACCTCACGGAGGCGTCAAGAACAGTGGCTGGGGCAGATTCAACGCCTCTCAGGGCCTGGAAGAATTCTTGGTCACGAAAAGTGTGACTTGGATGGATTGATAGTCTCCTGTCGGTAATGAGATAATGCACGCACTTTCATGTGGAGTCTACCACCAAAACAACAAAGCCCTGGATGGCGCTAAGCCTCAAGTCAAGGATGACTGCATGAGTGAATAACACTTCTGTGTGTAAACAAATTCTGCACGCTTCGATCCCCTGCTATACACGTGATCTGGTGTTTTGAGTGAGATATCGAGTCCAACACAACTGTGTTTCCCTCCTCACGACATCACTCCTCCCATCCCATCTCCTTTCAATACCTCTCTACCACTCTCGGAACCATAGTGCTCTGGCCTCAGCTTGGTCAGGCCACTTGGAAACAATGAAGGCCCTTGCCGACCTTCCAAACGAAATTGTCCTCCATCTAGCTGAACACCTTTCTACCTCCTCGCTCAACGCACTCTCCCAGACCTCAAAATGGTCGAACGATTTGCTGTCCGCTGAACTGTACGGCCGCGCAACTACGTACCATTTCGAAGATCAAGACCATCCCTTGATCTGGGCTACAGAGAGTCACAAAACCTGCGCCCTACTTAAGCTGTTGCCCTACTGCAATGACTGTTTCACCCTCACTGCAGCGCTGCATACCGCAGTAGATGTCGGTAATGAAGATGCCGTTGACATCCTTCTCAATGAAGGCGCGGATCCGAATATCATTGGGATGGTATCTACGGATGAAGAATCTGGCGAGCTAGTCGGGCGCAGAATACGAATCATCGAAGCCAGTGGCCATGGACGTTACCTCATTGTCAAGCGCGTCTTAGAATCTTTGCCTCATCTGATGAAGGGCGCTGCAGGTATAGTCTATACTATTTATCGAAGCGTCGACAGGCCCAATATTGGTGCTAACTCTTTCCGCAGGCATCAGAAAGCCCAAGTGCCATGAGCTTGTGACCCTGCTCCTCTCATTCAATGGTGCTGTGGTACACGGTAAACTCAAGCTCGCTAAGTTTATTTTCGATGAGACGAAGCTCTCCTTCCCCCCCGGCGTCGGTCCTATACTGTTCTATAAGGTCCTCGAGCGCGCCGACGTCAGTGCAATGTCCTTCATTTTCTCCAGAAGGCACGAAATCAACAGCCGTCCCAGCCTCATTGTCCTGCCTGAGCAGAACCCGTCAGAGCTTGGCTGCAAGCTGTCTCACACTCACGAATACATCAACTGCGTCTGGGAGGGCGGCCCAATTCTCAGCACCATCGCGTTGTTGTATGACAACAACCCCAGACCCCAGACACGCCCTTACCAAACCGACGTGATGGCCGGGGAACTCCTGGACTGGGGCGCCGATATCAACGCCGTCGACCCAGACAACGGACAGACAGCCCTCCACGTGGCAGCATACATGTCCGACTACGTCCTGGCTGAGCTCCTCCTAGACCGCGGCGCAAATGTCAACGCCGTCGACAATGACGGTAAATCGGCGCTTGTCCATCTGCTCGAGGACCCCGAGCCAGTCTGTGCGGAAGCACTACGTCAAATGGTCCTCATCTTCGTCCAGAAGGGTGCAGACGTGAACCTCCGCGTCTACGGCGAGAACGACCGCACGGCTCTGCATGTTGCTTCGGCACTGCCCGATTACCCGGGTCTCTTGTATGAGCTCTTGTATACCAATAAGGCGGAGGCCAATGCAAAGGACTTATTGGACATGACGCCCCTCCACGTCGCCGCCGCGAATAGCCACATGGAGGCAATGAAGACGCTTATTCTCTGTAACGCGGATACGGAAATTGAGGATGTCTTCGGCCGCCGACCTATTGATATCTCCAGAAGCCTGGGTCACGTTGCTGCCGTGCGCTTGTTCGAGCACGTTGAGCGTGAGAATGAGGCCTCGACCCCTGGCCAGGTCCGCAATGGCTGGGTTTTGGAGCTCCTGACTTACCGGATGGTTAGAAATCGCTTGGGGATCTAGGTTGCTCCTGGCTACTTGCATCTGGATTCTGGGATTTAATCTTTCAGAATATTTCATCTTGTTGGTGCTTTTGAGTTATGCCTCGCTTGAGGTCTGCCCGGCGACATTTGCGACTGATGCACAGGCAATCTTGAACGGGAACATGTGCGTTGCTCTTGACGGAGCCTACTGTACCGGCGAATGGGTCTCTAGCTCTCGTCCACGATTTTCTTTTTTTCTTTTGTCCTTTCTCTTCAGGAATACCTGATGGGTTGATGTTTCTACACTGTTTCACGTCCCATGCGGCAGCGGAGTTAGGGCTGTTTTGCTAGGCTATTCTGACCCCGACCGGCTAAAATGACTTACCTAGGTTATTGCTGGTCCTGGATAGCCTCGCACTGGCATTTCCTTTCTTGTATGCTAGCTAGCCCGTGCGGCAGAACAGATGATAGTTACATAGGTACTACGTAGGTAGAAACCGAAAGCCCTCGATCTCGCTACTCCTTCCGTGCGTGCACTTTATCCAATTCGCGGTAAATATCCGAGCGCATTTATCCGGGCCCGATTATTACCACCAATGGCTGCAGGTATCTCCCCTGTACTTCCCCCGGATTCGGCTCTTCTCCGGCGTAAATGCCTCGCTAGTTTGCTTTGGTATGAAGTGGTTCGATGCAGGAAAGAGGGTCTTTTCGCTCAGTAGTTTGTCCCAGCGTCAATAGCTTGGTGATCGAGGAGCAGAACTACCTAGACACAGACGAGGAACGGAGCGCATTCCGCTCCGCATTAAACTTGATGAATATGGCGAGATTCATTGTACATAATGGACTGAGTTCCTCGAAGCGAAGAAATACTCGTAATACCCACCGTGTTCCCAAACGGGCGAGAACGTCAAGATGCAGCTGAAGAACGTACTTTACCGGGGCCTGCCCTTTGCAGTCGCAACCATCGCGGCAGCCAAAACAATCAACCACGCCTATGAATTCAACCCCGTCGTCGTCTCCGGCGGCGGCTACATCACAGGAATAATCGCCCACCCTACTGAGAAAGACCTACTCTACGCGCGCACAGATATTGGGGGTACATACCGGTGGAGTTCGTCCGAGGACAAATGGATCCCACTGAACGACTTCATCAGTGCAGCCGATGAAAACCTACTAGGCACAGAGAGTATTGCGTTGGACCCCAATGATCCAGATCGTCTTTATCTTGCGCAGGGGCGGTATCTTAGTTCGGAGAATGCTGCGCTCTTTGTTTCGAGCGATAGAGGTGAGACGTTTGACATCTACCCAGCGCCGTTCAAGATGGGCGCCAATGAGCTCGGACGGAATAATGGGGAGAGGTTGGCTGTGAACCCCTTCAAGGCGGATGAGCTGTGGATGGGAACTAGGGATGCGGGTCTGCTGGTGAGTGAGGATGGAGCGAGGAGCTGGAGGAACGTGACTGGGTTCCCGAACGCGAACGCGAACGGAATCGGAATCTTCTGGGTGATTTTCGATCCGAGAAGTGAGGGGACCGTTTATGTTGGTGTTGGCGTGCCTGGGGGAATTTATGTTACCAAGGACTCCGGTGAGACCTGGAAGGCTGTACCGGGCCAGCCGCTGGAATGGGATGAAGATGTTCTTGTCTTTCCGGAGGAAGCGCAGCCGCAGAGTACAGGACCGCAGCCGATGAAGGGTGTACTGGCGGAGAACGGGGCACTATATGTGACTTATGCCGATGCGCCCGGGCCGTATGGTGCGACTTATGGCGGGGTCTATGTCTATAACACGACTTCAACCGAGTGGACGAATATCACGCCGAATGCTGACAACTCATCTCCGCCGCCCTTTGACAATCAGACATTTCCGGCAGGAGGGTTCTGCGGGCTCAGCGTTGATTCAAAGGATCCGGAGACACTCGTGGTTGTGTCTCTAGATCGTGATCCCGGTCCGGCTTTGGACAGCATGTATCTCTCGCGTGACGGTGGGCGGTCCTGGAAGGATGTATCTCAGATCTCAACACCACCTCGCTCAGGCGGATACTGGGGTCATCCGATCGAGGAAGCCGCGTTCAAAGACGGCACTGCTGTTCCTTGGCTGAGCTTTAACTGGGGCCCTCAATGGGGCGGTTACGGTGCTCCCTCTCCTGTGCGCGGGCTGACGAAGTTTGGATGGTGGATGACGGCTGTCCTCATCGACCCTAGTGATTCTGACCATGTTCTCCATGGCACTGGAGCTACCATCTGGGCAACTGACAACTTGTCCAGTGTGGATAAGAACCAAGCACCTGACTGGTACATCCAAGCTCAAGGAATTGAAGAGTCCGTTGCTTTGGCCATGGCAAGCCCTAACGGCGGCAATTCGCACCTCCTCACTGGCCTGGGTGATATCAACGGATATAGGTATGGTGATCTCGACGTTCCTCAGCCGATGTTCGAACTTCCGGTATTCTCGAACTTGAATGCCCTCGACTGGGCCGGTCAGAAGCCAGAAACTATTATTCGTGCCGGCCCCTGTGGACATAACTACACAGATGGTTGCGGACTTGCCGCGTACTCAGCGGACGGTGGCAGTTCATGGACAAAGTTCGCTACCTGCATTCCCGGCATAGAGACTGGCACCCCGAATCCTGGGGTCATAGCTATCGACGCTTCAGGCAAGAACATTGTGTGGTCCTCGGCAATGACGACGTACTGGCCAACCCTGCAGGCTATCACGACTCGCACGAACGAATCCGGTCCGTATGTCACGACGGACCTAGGCCAGACCTGGGTGTCTCCCACCGGTTTAAATGTGCAGACTCCCAATATTAGTGCGGACAGAGTCCAACCACGAACATTTTATTCGTTTAGTGATGGGACGTGGTATCTGAGTAGGGATGGTGGCCTTTCATACCGCGCCTTCGAAGCCAAAGAAATTGGGCTACCAGCATATTCGGGTGCTATGCCAATCGCGAATTTCAATAGAGCAGGCGAGGTCTGGCTCGCGCTTGGAGACTTGGGCATCTACCATACCCGCAACTTTGGCAAGAGATGGTCGAAAATTACTGAACGCGGAGTAGCAGCAAGACACCTGACAATTGGTGCTGGTGCGCGACGTTCCTCAGGACCAGCGCTTTTTATTGTCGGGAAAGTCGCAAGCCGTGGCCCGCTAAGCGAAGACGGAGTGTATCGCTCAGATGACAATGGTAAAACCTGGGTGCGAGTAAATGACGAAAAGCATCAGTATGGTGGGATGGCAATGATCCAGGGTGATCCTCGGGTGTATGGCCGTGTTTATCTGGGTACCGGCGGTCGAGGTATCATCTATGCTGATATCAAGACGAAGCGCGAGGATTGAGGGTAAATTGTCTAGATTGTGTGCTCCCATAATCTCAACTACCTGTGAAGCGAGACCATGGCCTCAAAACCAATTTTCGCAGAGTCGATCTTCACCTTCCGCGGTTGGACGAAGATAACCCGAGTTGACGAAGGCCAAACAAAATGAGATTTTCTCTTCAATGACACATCTTATGTTACCCAATAGCCAGAATCTTCACGGTAAAGCTTCTGCCGACTCAAATCCGATTGTAGAGGCACCCGGTCTTCTCCCGATTTAGTTGCTCGGTGTTGTTTCCGAGCGAAGTAGGAAGTTCGGGGAAGATGACACCGAGGAGCTTCTAAACGCCTGACAAACTGATCATTGACAGCGCGCCTTCGGGGTGGTGTCCGGCGCTAGAGACAGGCAAGACACAAGAGAGAATTATTCCGTAGTTTGCGTCTTCGCCCGCCCAATTCCCTTTACCGTCTGTTTGTAATTGTCGGCAATTGAAATTTCCAGAAAGGAAGTACTGAGCACCTGACCGCGGCGTTTGACACAGCTTACGTCATAGTTGAGAGACCGATGTGATCAATTGCCGATGGCATGATTTTCGAGACAGAGAGAGAGGCTAGTATGAGCCTATCGTGATCTTGGATACCTGGGAGAGAGCGCATAATGCGCGACATGGAGAGAGTGAATAAGTTGCGCGGTACTAGCTCTTTGCCCTTGTTCTTGCAGAATTAAAGGTTGCGATGCTCGGTCCGAGGCATTACCGGATTGGTACTGGTGCAAGAGCATTGGAATGGCAGATGTGAAGAGGGAGAGGTAGATATAAGAGGCATTCGGTGCTGTAAAGGGCTTTTGCTAATATTTCATCGCAGGCCGCTCGGCATCGGTAAAATGCCCCGTCGATGCCGCTCTGAGAACAGGCACGGCATTCTGAAGAGTACTCCCACGGCTGGAAGGCTGGAAACCTTTCTAGCACTGATGTCTAAGACAATATGCTGAGAATCTGATTGGAAAATCCTCAAGTGAGCCGAGAAGCTGATGAGACAGCTGAAAGAATCCGGGGAAGATACCGTGACCGTGGATTTGCATGTGAAAGTTGCGATGTCATCGACGGCCCCGAATGACCTGCTCGATGGGGATTGGGGAGATTCGTCCAGTCGAGTGAGCATGTGAAGTTTGATATCCAGTGTGCCCTGGTCGATCAAATGGTATAGGTCACGATATTTGATAATGGTCGATGGAGGTGGATGGACAAACCAGCACGCGGGAAATGGCCTTTACTAAGAGCAGTCCACTCTCCCCGGACTGCAGTCTGAGCTTGTCCCCATACTGCGGAATACGGGGAAGAGCTCTACATGTTGGAACGTAGGCCCATTAGAGAAATACAGATTTTATAGATAATCAATATATACAGCCCAAACACCTGAGTATCGTAATGTCTATATTAACTAACCAGTAGTATACATGCCGGTCGGACTCAACAGGCCGCCGTACCGTGTGGTGGCAGACCGTCAGTGAGCCTCGGCCGAAAAAGCGACTTCTCCCCCGTCGGCTTCTGAACGAGTCCTGCTCTTAAGACCTTCTGCGGCCCTCCGCTCTTTGTCTTCCTTCACTATTCTACCTTTCCTCTTCCCTTTCTCCTCCATCCCCTTCTTCTTTAACCTCACATCACAATCATGGCCCCTCGAGTAATTGTTGTCGGTGGTGGATGTGAGTATTCTCCCTCCCTTTATTGCACTCTCCCCCGCATTAGCTGACTAGGCTCCCTCCTCAGTGTCCGGTCTCAGTGCCGCCCACACCGTCTACCTTAACGGTGGAAATGTTCTCGTTCTTGACAAGCAAGGTATGTCGCTACCGTTCCTACGCTCCATATTCCATCCACCGGCGAAATCCACCAGAAACACCGGATTCCCAGGAGCATGCAGTCCAGCCGCGATCAACCGAGGCTAACCTTCCCCAGCTTTCTTCGGTGGCAACTCAACGAAGGCCACCTCTGGTATCAATGGTGCGCTCACTCGCACCCAAGTCGACCTCAACATCCGAGATAGCGTCACGCAATTCTACGATGATACCCTGAAATCCGCTCGCGACAAGGCTCGCCCCGACCTCATCAAAGTCCTCACATACAAGTCCGCTGCTGCCGTAGAATGGCTGCAGGACGTCTTCAATCTCGACCTCACACTCGTTTCTCGTCTCGGGTAAGCTGCTCTTGGCTTGTTCAAGCAGATTTTGTTCGTATTCTGATTTCTCTAGTGGCCACTCCCAGCCCCGAACACACCGTGGCCACGATGCCAAGTTCCCCGGTATGGCTATCACATACGCTCTCATGCAGCGCCTAGAAGAGCTCGCCGAGTCCGATCCCGACCGAGTTCAAATCATCAAGAAGGCCCGTGTCACGAGCGTCAACAAGGAGGGTAACGTTGCTACCGGAGTCACATTTGAGGTGGATGGCGAGACGAAGACAGCGGATGGTGTCGTTATCTTGGCAACTGGTGGTTATGCTGCTGATTTCGGCGATTCATCACTGCTCAAGCAACACCGCCCTGACACGTTTGGTCTGTCCAGCACCAACGGCACTCACGCCACTGGCGATGGTCAAAAGATGTTGATGTCCATCGGTGCCAACGGTATTGACATGGATAAGGTCCAGGTCCACCCTACGGGTCTCGTCGACCCCAAGGATCCCACTGCCAAGTTCAAGTTCCTCGCCGCTGAGGCCCTCCGTGGTGAGGGTGGTCTTCTTCTCAACTCTGACGGTGAGCGATTCTCTGACGAGCTTGGTCACCGTGACTATGTCTCAGGTCAGATGTGGAAGGAGAAGGAGAAGGGAAAGTGGCCCATTCGCCTCGTCCTCAACAGCAAGGCTTCTAAAGTTCTCGACTTCCACACTCGCCACTACTCTGGTCGTGGACTGATGAAGAAGATCAGCGGCAAGGAGCTGGCTAAGGAGATTGGTTGTGGCGAAGCCAAGCTGCAGAAAACCTTCGATGACTACAACGCCATTGCTGAGGGCAAGCAGAAGGATCCCTGGGGAAAGCGCTTCTTCCACAACCTCCCCTTCAACGTCGATGATGAGTTCCACGTTGCCGTCATGGAGCCTGTGCTGCACTTCACTATGGGTGGTATTGAGATCAACGACCGCTCCGAGGTCCTCAATTCTGAGCATAAGCCCTTTGACGGTCTTTACGCTTGCGGTGAACTTGCCGGTGGTGTCCACGGTGCCAACCGTCTGGGCGGTTCTTCTCTCCTGGGTTGCGTTGTTTACGGTCGTGTTGCAGGTGACAGCGCTAGCGAGTATCTCTTCAAGAAACTTGTTGCTGGTGGCGGCTCTTCTGCCCAGCAGCGTCTTGGCCAGATCTCTCTGCACATCGATCCCTCTACACCTGGCAAGATCTCCGTAGAATGGACTGGGGCTGGTGCTGCTGCTCAGGCGAATGGTACCGACCCCGCCGTCTCCACGGCACCTCTCCCCGCTAATGCTGATGCCCCTGCTGAGACATCAAAGCCGCCGACTAAGCCTCCTAAGAAGTTCAGCATCCCCGAGACCGAGTACTCGATGGAGGAAGTGGCTAAGCACAACAAGAAGGAAGACTTGTGGATCGTTGTCAAGGGTATCGTTCTCGACGTGACCAACTGGCTGGACGAGCACCCTGGTGGTGCCAACGCCTTGTTCAACTTTATGGGGCGTGATGCCACAGAAGGTAAATTCTAAACCCATCTTACTCTAGTCAGCATAATACTAACGCGTCGGCAGAGTTCGAGATGCTCCATGACGACGAAGTCATTCCCAAATACGCTCCTCACATCGTTATCGGCCGGGTCAAGGGCCAAACTCCCAGCCTTGAATATTAAGAATGAATAGATGGACATATCAAAAAAGACAAAACAGTGCAATCACCTGGATACATACCCTTGCTTCGCTTTCTTCTCTGTTACGCCTTGATTTGTCATGATATTAGCTATGTTCCATGTAAGATACAATCTATTTTTTATCTTATATACGACTTTACCTAGAGTTTCGTAGCTAACGTCCTGCCTTGGCCAAGGCTTGGGTACTGCCTTAGTATGATATGTTGCATTTGCCTTCATCCGGGATATACTGTACATACATATACTTACAAAATAACGATGTAGATCTTTGGTATCAATGCTGCATGTGCTTCAAAATCATTTTCAACCTTCGAACCGCGGGCCCATCTGCCGCACCAGCAGAGTCCCTGCTAGATTCTATCTCCTTTACAGCCGCCTCGAGAGTGGGTTGTAGATAGCCCCAGACCTCATCGTGGTATTTCTCTTCTACAGAGACCCACTCCGCCGCACCAGGCAAGCTTGCCAAAACGGTGTCTCGGAGCGCAGTTGCGTGGGTAGCCGATGCAGCCGGAATCGCGTCTAGGAATGAGCCGATGTCGGGAACGAGACTGAGGGAATTCAGCTGGGTCTGACTCTGTTGTGGCCTCTGAACGTCGGGGGGTAACTGGCGGCGGAACGACTCAATCATCTGGATCTCGGCCGGGGTAAGTTGAGGTGGGGAGAGTTCTGTCTCGAGGTATTCTGGAGGCTCGTTGGCTGAGGGAGGGAATTCCGGGTCGAAGGTTTGATCGGTCAGGATCGAGACTACGGCGTCGCCGTCGGACGGGATTAGGGTTGATGCTGCGGTTGCTTCATCGTGGTAGGTTGAGGTTCTATGTGCAGACTCGGACTCCGACCTAGGAACCGAGCTTGCTGTAGCCTTGCCCTTGCCCTTACCCTTACCCGCATCGAATGGATCGATTGTCTCCGACAAATCCCCGCCGTATGTATTCTGGAATTGATCCTCCGTGAGCCCAGGTAGCTCGAAACCTCCCGACTGAGTGGTGGGCGCTGATCTGAATGTTTCCGCGGGGCCGTGGGCGCTTGGATCGCGCGAAGATGAAGAAGGAGGTCCGATAACCTGGCCGTACTGTTCTGCGGCTGCTAAGGCTGAAGAGGACGAAGATGGCGTCGCCTTGCCATTATCCGACAGTAGATGCGCCGTGTCTCCCGAGGAAGCAGATGAGAAGAAGGCATTTCTCGCAAGTCCAGAGGCTGATTGCTGAATGCGCGAACCTAGAGACGCAACATCTTGGCTAGAGTCTGCAGAAGCATTATCATTCTTGTCTGGGCGGCGTTGAGCGTTCGCAGGCCTGTTATCGTCAGAACTACCCCGCTTCTCGTGGTCGGACATGGTCGGGCTAGTCGGTGCGGCTGCTGCGGCACCGCTAGGAGGGGAAGCTGTGAGAGCGGCAGAGCTAGGATCCTTTGCTGGAGCTTGAGCTGGAGCTGGAGGGTGCGATCAGTGGTTATATATAGTAGTCAGGTCTTGCCGACAGTTTTAACTGCGATGGTTCGGGTCAGAGGATCCGGAATAGGTAGGAAGGATTCAGCAGGTGCATGTGAATACTTGATCAGATCACATATTGCGATAGGACTGTAGGGAATTAGAACAAAAAGCAGTGCAACACTGCAAATAAAGAAATAAGCAGCGGCGGGCTAGTTTTACGCAGCCCGATGGTCATAGCATTAGAGCTGCATACAAAGTCGGTCGGAGCAACTACGGTACTCGGGTGCTGTTGGGTTGGGCACTGGCCCACAGGATGGGAGCAAGTCTGGGGTGAAGAAGGATCGAATGTTTTTGTTCTGGAACCTGCCGAAAGTCGGTGTATGTTCCAGAGAATACCCAGGGAGACAAGCAAGGCGAGATGGATCATGGTTGATGTCAGCGCCCACTCTGGCGGTTGGGTTTACGGGCAGCCACTACCACCACTCCGAGAGACGACTTCTCCCCACCACCACCGCAACGGGTCTTTCCAAACCGCCTCACCTCAAGAATCCAACATCCCCGTCATCACCCTCCCCCCTCCCGACTACGATCAACGCCCACGCTCGTTCTCCTCATCAACAGACCCTACACTCTGTTGCTGGAGCCCGTGGTTGTTGCTGTCGCTGCTTGTTCGTCTCTTTTGCGGCGAATTAGTACTGGTTATCGCCCTCCTCACGACCCGAAGGGCTCACCAGAAGAAGAAAAAATTATTCCTTCCACCGACAGCTTTCCCTACTCGACCTTTGTCAGCCCAGGCTATTAATCATTTGTCCTCTTTATTCTGCAACCGATAGATCAGTCTTGCTTGTTTCTGATCCACGTTGCGACCTTATTCCAGCTTCTCCCAATCTGTGCTCTATAATCACGCCTTATCTATCCTCGAGGCTCTTTCCTGTCGGAACCATTCGATTTCTCGCCTTTTAACGTTCCTCAACTACCCTGTCACGTTCGCGAATTGCGTACCCGAATTATAACGATTTTTGACCTCGCCTTTGTCTACGACCCGGTCCCCACGAACCCCGCTTATACTACCGTCTTTCAAGATCCAACGTCTGGATTCTTGATCTTCGTCCTTCTGATCGCCATCGACCTATCCAAGAAGGGTCGCTTTTGAAAGAAAATGGTGGACAGGGACCCAGGTACACCTACCTGGAAATTCACCCAGTGAGTCTCCCTCGTCGCTCCGAATCAACCCTGCCTATATGATACCTTGGTTCATCATGCAACTGTTTTTGATGGGATACGGCACCGATGCTTGAGTGTGCTCATGGGCTGCGGCGTTATTACATCTGGCTGCTCAGTTCCCGCAATTGATACTAATGGCTGCGCATAGATGCTTTGGCGATAAAGGCGACGTAGAAGACATCACTGAAGGTACTTCAACCCCCACCAAAGGACTGTTTCACAACTTCAGAAGCTAATGTTGACACTTCTTTCAGCTGATATCATCTCAACTGTCGAGTTCGACCATACCGGAAATTACCTCGCTACAGGAGATAAGGGCGGGCGAGTTGTGCTTTTTGAGAGGAACGAAACGGTAGAAGCACCCCTGCACGCGATCCAAATTCGTGGCATATGGTGCTGACAACCTAAACAGAAGAAGACATGCGAATATAAATTCCACACCGAATTCCAGTCACACGAGCCGGAATTCGACTATCTAAAATCCCTGGAAATCGAAGAGAAAATCAACAAGATAAAATGGTGCCGGCGCCAAAATGCGTCGCATTTCCTACTTTCGACCAATGACAAGACAATTAAGCTGTGGAAGGTGTTTGACAAGTCCCTTAAAGTCGTTGCAGAGAACAACCTCTCTACCGAGCTTACTCCAGGCGGTGTTGGTGGTGGAGGGGCGCCCAGGGCGCCCCGCGTATCTTTCAAAGATCCTTCAGCTTTGAAACTCCCAAGAATGACACATCACGACACTGTTGTCGCAGCTGTACCTAGACGGACATACGCCAACGCCCATGCATACCACATCAACAGTATCTCTGTCAACAGCGACGGAGAGACATTCATTAGCAGTGACGACCTGCGAGTCAACCTGTGGAACTTGAATATTCAGGACCAGAGCTTTAACATTGTCGATATCAAGCCGGCGAACATGGAGGAGCTCACGGAAGTCATCACAGCCGCGGAATTCCATCCTACGAGCTGTAACTGGTTCATGTACGCGAGCTCGAAAGGGACGATCAAGCTCGCGGACATGCGGCAGCGGGCACTTTGCGATACGCACCACAAACGTATGTATCCTCACCATTGTATTCGCTCTGTAACATTCGCGGTCCACCGACTAACTTTTCCTTCTGTAGTCTTCGAACAAGAGGAAGACGCTTCTTCTCGTTCCTTCTTCTCCGAAATCATCTCCTCCATATCCGACGTAAGGTTTTCTCACGATGGCCGGTACATTGTATCACGAGACTACCTCACGGTCAAGATTTGGGACGTCAACATGGAGCGACAACCTGTGAAGACAATTCCTATCCATGAACACCTCCGACCCCGTCTATGCGATACGTACGAGAACGACAGCATCTTTGACAAATTTGAGGTGGTTTTCTCTGGTGATGCGGAGAACGTTATGACCGGCAGCTACAACAACAACTTTATGATCTATCCTACCGATCCAGCTAAGGAGACTGAGATTGTGCTGCAGGCCGACAAGTCTGCATTCAAGGCGAAGAAGGTCGGCGTACCAACGCCGATGAACAAGGGTGCCAATGGGAAGAAGAGCAACTCCAGGACCAGCAGTCCCGCCGGCCCTGGCAGCCGCATGAAGAAGGAAACTGATGCGGATCACATCGATTTCAACAAGAAGATCCTGCACATGAGCTGGCATCCGTTCGAGGATAGTATCGCTATTGCCGCCACAAACAACGTGAGTGCCATTCATAACTATTCGCCTCTGCAGTAAGCTAATATCAATGCCAATTTAGTTGTTCGTCTTCTCTGCTCTCTAGAGGCGACTGCAATATTCGCTGTCGCAGTGCTGAGGTGCATCGGCCTTTATCGTGATCGAGACAACACGGGCACGGGGAGAGGGCCCTCTACCATTCTCAAGTTACCGGTCCCACTTCCGAACATTATCTTTGTTTCCTCCGCGTTCCGTTTATTGGAGTCAGGTTGCGTGCCTCTCCCAGTCTCTTCTTAGCTCGATCGCTACCTACTGACCATGAGACCACTATACTACCGCTCCCGGGGCAAAGATGGTGATTTGAATGGTTTCTTGACGGAGGGAGAAGGGCGTTTTACTGGGGTTCACATAGACGCAGGCAGCTGCCCCAGATTGTTTCCATCTCCTTTCTCTGATATTAACCCTGTATTCACTCTCGGCGCCTTTACTGCAGCAGTACGTTTATTGCATCGGAAGACAAGCTTCTCTCCCACGACCATGTCGTCGTGGACGGGTTAGGCGGATGTCATTGCCAAATGACTGGGACTGACTTGGTATTGGTGTCCGCTTAGCGTTACTCGAGTAGATAATAAATTCACGTCAGTTATGTATACCCGGATTCGTGAATGCCATAGGCCGGTCTACCCTGTACCCTACCTGCTTCAACTGGGGAGTACACTTCAACTGGGAGGCCTTCTGGTTTCAATAATGACGTCGGAAACCTCAGGCTCCGCTGCCTCGGAAAAACCGCACTCCCGTTATCAGCCACTAGGCCAATCCCAGCCTAGGGCGGCCAAACCTCTCTCCGCCTTCTCTGGAGACCATCCGTGATCGGTCGCGCGCAAACCATCGTCGCCCAGTTCGTCTGCTTGTTGCTGGCTTGGCTAGTCGGATATACTTTCTCGTCCTCTTTTGTCTCGCTGAGAATCTCTTGTTCTATATACTTGATCCTTACTTTCTGCGGATTTGCGTTTCCTGCTGCTAGCAGCCACGAAATTCAGTGATGTTTCTGTGAAATGAGTGGGAAGAGAAACTGATCCGTGCGAAAAGGATTAAGAAGCCTGCAACGAGACCAGGGGTTGTCAACAGCTTCATACCTCTTTTCTACAGTGACTCTATTGTCTCCGAGTGCTTTGAAAGCCGCTGTTTTCCTGAAGTCCTCTAGAGCACTTTCGTGCGCCAGGGATCATGAACTCTGGGAACGATAGCTGGCACCCAGGTGGCCCGTCGCACCCTAGCATGGATCAAATGAATCAACAGCCTCGTCCCCTGGGCACATTTGGGTATGTGATACACCGACCGCAAACAGTTTCATCTTATCTGGACATGAAAGCTAATATGTTAATTCTGCCGCTTTTAGTCAAAACCCAACCCCCCAGCAAGGTCCGGCCGCGCAGCCGTCAGGGCCTGTCCTCCCACCTCCAGCCGGTTAGCTTTGCCTCTCCACCGTGCAATCATATAAATTGTCTGGCATAAGAGACTAACATGTTTACTTCTTCAAGCGCCCTACCACCCGTCCGGTCAACCGGGTGGACACTCGCTGCCGGGGTTGGCGGAGTTGAGCCAGACCCATGGCAACCCCCACCAACCACCCTCATACGGTCAACATGCCCCTCCACCCTCACATGGTGGCGGACATTCCCTGCCAGGGATCGGCCAGGCAATGCAGCACCCTTCCCCTCAGTCGATGAACCAGCAGGAACGCGAGCGGGATTCCAGAGAGCGAGAGCTGATTGAGCGACAACGTCAGCAGGAGGAGATGGTACACAGAGAACGTGAGCGTCAGCGTGATATCGAGCGGCAACAGCTTGATCGACAGCGGGATCAGCAGGATCACCCTGTGCAAAGCCACACCGGGTCGATTCCTTTACACCAACCGGTGGCGTCAAAGGTTCCGAATACTATCCATGCCCCCGGCGGTCTTTTGTCCAACTTAGGGCCAAATCCGGCCAACGGTCCTCAGGGCGCCATGCAAGCCTCTGGCGGACCCGCTGGGATCTATGGTCCTCAGATTCCGCACGGTGAAGGAACTCCGAGGTCATACATGCAACATGCTGCTGGGCCACAAGGCCAGCCGTTGATGGCTTTCAATGGTCCCGGGCCATCAATCCCTGGAAATGTTGCTGCACTTGCCCAGGGCCAACAGCCAATTCTGAACGTGAGTGCAGTCGTGTTACTATCGCTTGCCAGTGGCTAATAAGTTGACATCATCCATAGGATGCGCTTTCATATCTGGATCAGGTCAAGGTCCGCTTCGTGGATCAGCCAGATGTGTATAATCGGTTCCTTGACATAATGAAAGATTTCAAGAGTCAAGCGTAAGAGATTGAAATGTCGCTCAAGGAACCTACCACTGATTCTATTAGTATTGACACGCCGGGGGTGATCCAACGCGTTTCTAATCTGTTCAACGGCCATCCAGCGCTCATTCAAGGGTTCAACACTTTTCTTCCGCCTGGTTATCGGATTGAATGTGGTACCGAAGATAACCCAGACGCGATCCGAGTGACAACGCCCTCAGGCACAAACACTCTCAGCATGCCACGTGCTCGCCATACGCTGGACGGCCCAGGTGACCTCGCCCCTTCCGCCGGGCTTGGTCCTCATGGTCGTCCTGATTACTATGAACATTCTCGCCAGGGATGGCAACAACAGCCTCAGGCCCAGCAACCGCAGGGCGGTTTCGCGGATTCCCCAGGCTCTCGTTTAATAGGCGGTTTGTTTTCACAGCAAGCGGGACAAGGGCAGCCACAAGACCATCATTATGAATATGCTGGCCAACAAGAGCCACCGGTTCCGGCTGGTGGTGCGGCGCCAACTCATGGGCAGGATCAGCGGGGTGTATCCCAGCTTCAAGGCGCTGCCTCAGCAGCTTCAGCCGGTCTAGGTCGAGCTGCTCTATTGGGAGCTGGGGCTTCGGGCCAAGGACCAAGCCTGACTCAGCCAATGAACAGTTTGGCAGGAGTCGGAACCGGTGTCCTGCAAGGTGCGCAAGCGGATTTGAAACGTGGACCGGTGGAGTTCAACCATGCGATCAGTTACGTTAATAAGATCAAGGTTTGTCCGGCCGATATAACTCGAATTCGTAAAGGCTAACTCGACGACTTTTCAGAACCGTTTTTCGAGCCGGCCAGAAATATACAAGCAGTTCCTCGAGATCTTGCAAACATATCAGCGCGAATCAAAGCCAATCGGAGATGTGTACACTCAGGTCACGCAGCTCTTCAATTCCGCCCCGGATCTCTTGGAGGATTTCAAGCAGTTCCTCCCTGAGTCTGCAGCTCATGCGAAACAGCAGGCTGCTCTGCGTCAGCAAGCAGAGGAAAACGCGCCCATGAGTAATTTGCGTGGTGACCCTAACTTTGCACCAGGCTCTCTATCTTCCCAGACTCCAAATCGCGATGTCAAGATGCCGCCGCTTGGTAATTTCAATGTCAAGGACTCGGCGAAAGAGGGCAAAAAGCGTAGGAACGGGCCTGGCGCTCCTAGTCTAGCTGGTTCTGGTGTTGGCCCTGCTGGGGGTGTTGATGCTGCACGTATGGTCGACTCGCAGGTTGGACGCGGGCAACCCATGGCAGCGAGCAATGCAAACAAGGTTAGTTTTTGCAAGCTTCTCTCGACTTTGCATATCCGTTTGGATATGACCTCGCTTTGTTCCCTCGGCGGTTGTCTTTTGTCCTCGCTCTTTGATTTCGCTGCGTATATTCAATGTATGCCTTGGCTTGTGTCAGCTGTAACACAGCATACATCTCCTCCCCACACTTTCTTTTTCTGCCTACTTCCAACTACTTCGGAAGATTGAATGGCCAAGCTAATTTTCCGCAGAGAGCCAAGGTCCATCACACGAAACCTTCACAAGCAGAAGCCCCAATTGTTTCTCCTACTCTTGTGCCCGCTCTACCTGAGCCAGTCCAGCCGACTTTTTCTTTGACGCCGACACAGGAAGAGTTTGCCTTCTTTGACCGCGTGAAGAAATACATCGGGAATAAGCAGACTTTCAGCGAATTCCTCAAGTTATGCAACCTCTATTCGACCGATCTTATCGACCGGCATGTGTTAGTGAAACGGGCAGCTGGATACATCGGATCAAACCCGGAACTCATGGCCTGGTTCAAGCGATTTATGCACGTTGAGGAGCCAGAGGATAAGATAATTGAAGTCAAGCCCAAGCAAGAGCCGGGAATCGTCAACCTATCACACTGCCGGTCACTCGGGCCCAGTTACCGACTCTTACCCAAGCGGGAGCGACAGAAGCCCTGCAGCGGTCGCGACCAGCTATGCCGAAGCGTGTTAAACGATGAGTGGGCCTCTCACCCAACGTGGGCGTCTGAAGATTCCGGCTTCGTCGCGCACAGGAAGAACCAGTATGAAGATGCCCTTCACCGCATCGAAGAAGATCGACACGATTATGACCATCATATCGAGGCTTGCAACCGGACCATTCAGCTCATCGAGCCCATCGTTCAGCAATTCCTAGTTATGTCGGAGGCGGAGAGAGCTGCCTTTAAGCTTCCTCCTGGCCTCGGCGGTCAGAGTGAAGCAATCTATCAGCGTGTCATCAAGAAGATCTACGATAGGCAGCGCGGCGAGAGGATTATTAAAGAGATGTTTGAGCGCCCTTGTCACGTCCTTCCTATCGTCTTGTTCCGGCTCAAACAAAAATGCGAAGAGTGGAAGGCTAGTCAGCGCGAATGGGATAAGATCTGGCGCGAACAAATGCAAAAGGCCTACTGGCGCAGTCTCGACCACCAAGCGATTGCCAGCAAGGGAACCGACAAGAAACTGTTTGTGGCCAAACATATCCAGACTGAAATCCAAGCCAAGCACGAAGAGAGTAAGAATCTGCGCAAGAGCGGATTCCAAATTCCAAAACATCAGTTCGAGTTCTCCTTCAAGGACCCAGCTGTCCTTATCGATGCGACTCATCTGCTGCTAACGTTCATCGACCGCAACTCAGCCGGCTTTGGCGCCGATCCACAAAAGGTCATGATGTTTATCAAGGATTTCATTCCAGTGTTCTTCAGCATGGATCGTGACACATTCCACGTTTACATGAACGAACTCTCTAACGGGACATCGCCCGCTGACGAGGGTGACGATGAGAGCTCAGCTGCTGATGATACCGCGACGCCGCGCAGCAGCCGGAAGGGGCTCACGAACAAGAAGATTGGCCTCCTCCGTGATGTTCTCGAACGCCGCAGTGAAAAGGCGAACCAGACTGACAAGGAAGGCAGCGCACCGGCCAGCCGTGACGGTACGCCTGACGCTGTTCTCATTCCTTCCACCCCGATTCCGGATCCGACAGAGACATTTGACGTTGCAGAGCTGAAGTGGATGGAGCATCCCGGACAGGGCAACTTCAACCAGCAGCGCGAGTACAACCTCAACGAGACCTACGAGAAGAAGGCACATCATCTGTATGCGAACCTCAACATCTACTGCTTCTTCCGCACATTTGAGATTCTGTACTCTCGCCTTCTTCGTATCAAGCTGCACGAGAAGGATGCTCATGATGATGTCCGCCGCGCGCTTGTCATGAAGCCTGCTCAAGAACTCAACCTTATTGACAAAGTTCCAACCGACTTCTTCTACGACACTGACCCTAAGGCGAACCTGTATCAGCAGATCGTGCGGATGTGTGAAGAGGTCATCAAGGGGGACCTGGAGACGTCTCATTTGGAGGAAACTCTCCGTCGCTACTACCTGCGGTCTGGATACCAACTCTACAATTTGGAGAAGATGTTTACCGGCATTGCCAAGTTTGCAGGCGCCATTTTCAACGGCGACTCGAAGGATCGCAGCTCGGATATCATCAACCTCTTTTTCAAGGAGCGCGACAAGAAGGAAACCACGCACAACCTGGAGATCCAGTACCGCAAGCAGGTTGAGAGACTGGTCAAGGACAGTGAAATCTTCCGCATCACCTACGTAAGTTTCTTCCTGCATAAACAAGGATCTGTCTAACCTGCATAGTACCCGAACAACCAGAAGACGACAGTCCAGCTCCTGACCCCGGAAGATGCGACTTTGGAAAACGAGGAATTAAGCCAGGAGGCCCGCTGGTCGTACTACGTCTCGGCCTACACAATGCGGGACCCAACAGAAGGGGTGCCGTTTTCACAGATGCGCATGCCTTTGCTCAAGCGGAACCTTCCCGGCAAGCTGGAGCAAGAAGAAGAGTATAATCGCTTCTATCGCCCACTCGTCCACCGAGACGGACTTATCATCCGCATTTGCGCCAACAGTTATCACATCCTCTACGAACCTAGCAGCTACGACTGGTGGTATCGACCGGCTCTCCCATTGGATGAATCGACCGAGGACACGGCCAAGGAAACCGCAGCTGTCAAAGAAAGACGGCGCGACCGGTTCACCGAGAAGTTTGTCAATAACCCTAGCTGGGCCCATGGGCTTAGCAAGGACGAGGTCGACAAGTCGAACCAGGAGTTCCGGTCTTTACTCAAGGGCCCTGATGCTGAAGAGGGTGAAGCCAGTGTCACTGCTGCTTCGGGATCGGACACTCAAGAAAACAAAGACGACGTCGAGATGCCGGACGCGGAGAAGGCCCCTGAGGCCGAGTCCTGATGATCACCTTTTTATGGTCCTTTGCTTAACATTCTTATGGGTTTGTGATTCACGGACGGCGGTGCTTTTGGGCAACTCGGAAGCGTTGCTTGGTCATTTAGTCGCACGGGTTCTTGGTGAAAATCTACGTTCAATCTTTCATTGTGTTTTCTCTTCTGTCGTTGTTTGATTTCTTCGGCAGCAGTGTATCTACTTTATCACGGCATGATCAGCGCGCTCGGCCAACGGATGTACGATGATGGGTTTACTGCTTTGCGAGCCTGCCGGTCTTGAGGCTGCTGGCAGGGGATTTGGTTTTTGGGTTGGCGTCCAGGGATTCATTTCATCCTATTCCTTTTATGTGTATTTTAGAGGTTAACAAGACTCAGGTTCTACATGCCTTGACAGTGCGGTGTAGATTAGTAACAGCTGGAGTACCGTTAGCCCGGCGAGGCAACCGAGAGACCGAGAGCGCAGGGCTGGCCAGCTCCGTGTGGCCGAGCGGCTTTACCGATACAGACCGAGACTGGGCCAGACCCGGACTTGTCTCGGTGCTCGTCTGGGCCGGGGTAGATGGGAATCATGGAATCAAACTGGGACGCTCTTCAGGTTCAAACACTTCGGAAATATCTTACTCTATACCTATATACGCCGTTAACTATAGCTTAGCAATATGCTGGCTGCTATTGGAAACTCGCAGAGTAGTTCTCTTCCTGGCTGCAACCGTGACGTCGCCCAGCGTCAGGCCGAGAAATCGCCGAGTGACGTCAGGCTTTCATCTAAAAGTGTCGAACTCATCTCCTCTGCAAACGCCCAGAGTGCCCACCGTGAGACGCAATTAGCTATGGTATGATCGCTTCCGGATCGCTGAAACAGGTTATAAGATATAGAGAGCCAGAGACACTGCTGTCACAGCTGGAAACAGCCCGTTGAAGTAGAATTGTTGCGCATTAGAGGATCTTGCTACACAGACAACAGCCTCACCGGGACCCTCACTGATACGGAATACAATCAATAGTTTCACGGTTTCACCTCCGGTACTCCTAGTGGGCTTCTCCAGTGATCCCGTAAAATATCCCAGCTCTCTCCACACGGGGGTGGCGGCGTGGGTATTGTTATCTTTCTTAAAGCTCCCCATCCCACACTTTCCCCCCTTCTCCCTTCTTTTCTCTCAAGACTCTCTCCGCTCTCTTTTCTCCTCTCTCCCTCCCATCCTCTCCTTTCCCTCTTCTCACAATGTCGGCGTCCGCCCTCCTCAGGAGCCGTGTCCGACGGCCCTCGTACCTCAACAAGATCGCCAAGGCTGAGGACTTGATTGACCTCTTCCCCAATGGCTCTTACATCGGCTGGTCCGGTTTCACTGGTGTCGGATACCCCAAGTATGTTGCTGTTTCAATCAATAGAAAGGAGGAGCTGCTCATAATTTTCTAGGAAGGTCCCCACGGCGCTCGCCGATCACGTTGAGAAGAATGGCCTCGAGGGCAAGCTCAAGTACACACTCTTTGTCGGTGCTTCGTCGGGTGCGGAGACGGAGAACCGCTGGGCTCGGCTGAACATGATCAACCGCCGGAGTCCTCACCAGGTCGGCAAGGAGATTGCCAAGGGTATCAACAATGGTCAGATCAACTTCTTCGACAAGCATCTCAGCATGTTCCCGGCCGATCTTACCTACGGCTGGTACACGCTGAACAAGCCCAAGAACCGCATCGACGTTGCGGTCATCGAAGCTTCCGCTATCACTGAAGACGGCGGCATCATTCCCGGTGCCTCCGTCGGTGCCTCTCCCGAAATCGTGCAGATGGCAGACAAGATCATCATCGAAGTCAACACTGCCAGCCCTTCATTCGAGGGTCTGCACGACATTACCATGTCTGAGCTCCCTCCCAACCGCAAGCCCTACCTCATTCTACAGCCCGAGGACCGCATCGGAACTCCACACATCCCGGTCGACCCCGAGAAGGTCGTCGCTATTGTCGAGTCCGACTACCCCGATCAGACGCAGCCCAATTCCCCTGAAGACGCTGCCTCGCAGGCCATTGCCTCTAATCTCATCGAATTCCTCAAGCACGAAGTCAACCACGGCCGTCTCCCCAAGAACCTCCTCCCCATTCAGTCCGGCATCGGTAACATTGCCAACGCCGTCATCGGTGGCCTCAGCAAGGGCGGCGCTGACTTCACAAACCTCAAGGTGTGGACCGAGGTGCTACAAGACTCCTTCCTCGACCTCTTCGACAGCGGCAACCTCGATTTCGCTACCGCCACATCCATCCGCTTCTCTCCCGACGGCTTCAAGCGCTTCTACGACAACTGGGAGCGCTACGCGGGCAAGCTCCTCCTGCGCTCGCAGCAGGTCTCCAACTCCCCCGAAATCATCCGCCGCCTGGGCTGCATCGGCATGAACACCCCTGTTGAAGTCGACATCTACGCGCACGCCAACAGCACCTGCGTCATGGGCTCGCGCATGCTCAACGGCCTCGGCGGCTCTGCCGATTTCCTGCGCTCCTCCAAGTACAGTATCATGCACACGCCTTCCGTGCGTCCCTCCAAGACCGACCCCACCGGTGTCTCCTGCATCGTTCCCTTCGCCACGCACATTGACCAGACCGAGCACGATCTCGATGTTATTGTTACCGAGCAGGGTCTTGCCGATGTCCGTGGACTGAGTCCCCGTGAGCGTGCCCGTGTCATCATCAAGAAGTGCTCTCACCCCGACTACACGCCTATCCTGACGGACTACCTCGACCGAGCGGAGTTTGAGTGCTTGAAGAAGGGTATGGGCCACGAGCCTCATCTGCTCTTCAATGCCTTCAAGATGCACAAGAACCTCCAGGAGAAGGGGACGATGAAGATCGACAGCTGGGAGTGAATATAATGACTAGAACTGAATTGGTTACGGTATATGGTATACTTGGATGGCGCATTGGAGCTTTATATGGTACTTTAGGTAGTTTGGTCTAATTGCACATTTGCAATCTTCCACTTCAACTCAATTATTCCTTCCTATCGCATATTTCTCGACGATTGCGAGCCCATGCCCCATGCAGTCATCCGCCAAGTACCGAATACGAGCACATTAATTGTCCCAACCGGGTCCGCGATGTCTAGAAGAGTCCATTGGCTTCTGTCCATTGATATGGAGATATGGCATCGGACATACTCTTAACGCCTCGCGACACCGGGTGCATTCCCCATGCTTGGCGGAGATAACCAGCTCCAGTCGGAGATAGACGCCCTGGCGCTGATTATTTCCTGCGATATTTCTAAGCATCTTGTCTATAGTCACGGTTCGTATACGCTTTGTGCAGCTATATAGACCTGCTATATCCCCTCGTATTCCCTCTCCTCACCAACGCTCAACCAAACCCTATCTATCTACACCAACCAACCCGACCACCAGAATGTCCACCTCAAACTTCATCTCCGCAAACAAACTCCACAAGACCCGCATCCTCCTCCTAGGCGGCACCTCAGGAATCGGCTTCGCCGTCGCCCGCGCCGCCCTCGAACACGGCGCCTCCGTGATCCTCTCCTCATCCAACCCCGAAAAAGTCACCAATGCCATCGCCCGCCTGAAAACCCTCTACCCAGACGAGCCGTACGCCTCGCGCATCGCCGGAACAGCATGCGACCTCGGCAAAGACGACGAGGCTATCGAGGCGGAGATCGTGGCGCTGTACGAGTTCGCCACGAGGCCGGATCTCTTCGGCTCTGGGTCTGGCTCAGGGACAAGTGAGGGGAAGGTCCCAATCAACCACATTGTTTTCACGGCGGGCGCCGTGCCACGCACCCTCGCACCCACGGATCCAAATGTGACCGCGTCCTACCTCCGCTCCCTAAACACAATCCGCTTCATTGGCGGCGCCCTCGTCGCGAAGCATGCGCCTGCTTACATGCCCAAGCCAACCACGGGTCTCACGACAACACCCAGCGCGCCATCGAGCTCGATTACGTATACGTCTGGCGCGCTGGTGGTCCGTCCCGCCCCCGGGATGAGCCTGGGTCTTGCGGGGGCCGGCGCGATAGAGGTCTTCTCGCGCGCGTTGGCGGTTGACCTGGCGCCGCATGGGATTCGGGTTAATGCGGTTGCGCCGGGGCCGGTGTTGACGGAGATGCTGGAGGATATTGCGGAGAAGGGGCAGGGGGGGCGGGAGGGGGTTCTTGGGGCTTATGCGCGGGAGACGGTGCTTGGGAGGGTTGGGGCGCCGGAGGATACGGCGGAGGCGTATTTGGCGCTTATGAGGGATGGGTTTGCGACGGGGGTGTTGTTGAGGAGTGATGGGGGGTTTACGTTGAAGTAGATGGGTAGAGTGGGATTGGGTGGGCTTGATTAGGGCTGAGCGATGAGTATGGGGGATGGGTTGGACGGGCCTGGACTGAATATGGTAATATGTTTCCATCAGATCGATTGAGAATAGGCACTGGTAATTGTAGCTAAAACAAACGCAAACGTGACAGCATTATAAAGACTCCATACTCCTCAGAAAATATATATACTCCCCCAATGTTTATTCCACCTTTGCCCAATTATTCGTAAGGCTTGTAGTTCCCGCCAAAGACCCTGCAGCAGGCGACATTAGCACCTCCACAAGTGAAGAAGACGAAGGCAGCACATACTTATTCCACAACCACCCCCCAAACCCCGTCGAGGCATCGGCGTTCCGCTTCGCCCACCCGCTGTCAACATTGTACTTCTTCGTGTCTTGGAGGCCGGCGAAGAGTCCGCGGCCGGCTGTTGGGTGCTGTTACACGGAGAACAAGTCAGCACCTATATATTGACGGTGTGGTATTGAGGTGTAGGGGTGTAGAGCTTACCCGATGCTCGACGGATTCCTGGCGAACCCAGAGATTCGTCCCAAAGTCGTTTTTGGGGGCGCGGGGGGCGTCGGATGGTGTTGATTTTGCGTTGGCCATTGTGTTTGTGTACGGGTTGTTATAGGTAATTGTTCTTATAGTTCTCGAGGCTCAATAGACAGACTCTGGTGCAGGTTTTTGTACAGCAAGAGTAGCGAAACGAGGTTGATGGCTCGGTTGGTAGGGTTGTGTAGGTAAAGCTATGCTTCACAGTCCGATCGAATTGCTTAATAGTGATGAATGAGAAGTAGGGCACCCCTACCAAACACCGACGCCTTTATATCCCATCCATTGGACAACAGGACCTGATCGCAACCATGCCAGCCCGAATCCTGGAGAAGCACGGAGTATAGAGCCAGGAACGCATGATTCCGAATCACCTCACCTCACCTCACCACCACAACGACCCCGTATAGAATGAGGCTAGGTAGAGTAACCCGGCAAGAATCCTTTGCCGCTCCATACCGACGTCGTGGTGTGTGGTCTGAGCCTAGTCTGTCAGTGTCAGGTTAACGTCGGCCTGGGCTGGGAGGCAGGGATCGACTTGCTTGGAAATAGGCCAATAGGATTGCGAGCATATCTAACGCAGATCATTCTGGCATCTGGGAATTCCGAGCCTTTGGTATGGCATGATGTAGTTCGCGGAGGAGTGCTAGTATAGTTGGGCGTTGTGTCGTTGTGTCGGTGCGGGTGGCATGATGCTGGCTGGGTTGAGTTGGGGGCTGAGCTGCGCCGCAGGAGAGCGAAGGATGGGATGGCACGGGATAACCTGTTCTCGGGGAAAATAGGATCTTGAAGCTATGTTTTCCATCAACGGTGTGAAAACCATGTGTAGAGAGAATCGAACATGTTCGAGATGCAACGAACCATCGTGGCAAACGAGTGTTCCCAGTCACCTCGAACGACTTGAGTTCCTCGGAGCCCTCCGCGCTGCAGGTCAACATGTCATTTCGTATCATACCAGCTTGGCTCTCCTCATGGCGTCCATGCTCATACTCTCTGGAACTCCGATCCAACCACAGACCGCCACCGCGATCAACCCATGTCATTGCCATGCCATGCCTCCATCCCCACCCGCTCCAGCTAAACCTGATACATTCCCCAGTCCCTCGCAGATCAGCCCTCCAATATCCTCGCGAACATCATACACTACACTTATCTCGAATTCAAGCTACTCGATGAACTTCCTCTCGGACTACAATGCTGGTTGGTAGGTGAAGGAGGTCTTGATCATGAAGAGCTGAACATTCAATAGCCCAATGTATATATCTCTTGCTCGCCCATATAATCAGAATGTCGTGAATCATATACTACACACCATCCACATCCTATATAAACCCACCCGGCGATGCCTCCGCCTCCCTAGCCTCACTCTCAACCCTCTCAATAGTCGGTCTATACGTCTTCCTCTCCCACCCCGGAATCCCATTAACAAACGTAATCGGCGAGCGCGAGCTCGTCTGTGACTCTCCATTCCCATTCCCATTCCCGCTGACACCCTTCTCCGGCTCCGCCTCGTTGGGAAGCGGCCTCAGTCCAGCGACAGCATCATTACTTCCCGGCTCAGGAATCCAAAGGACCCTCGTGCTCGCCAGCGACTCGGGCGCTGGGTCCGCGCCAGCCGTCGAATCAACCGGCACGATCTCGTCGAATTTGGCGTTCCGCGTTGCGCGCAGGATGGTAGTCGGCGAGTCGGTGAAGGCTATGCCGTTGTCCCACATTGTGAGGAGGCCGGCGATGATGCAGAGGAGGGAGATGAAGACCGAGAGGCCGTAGGCTAGTAGGAGGTTGCGCTGAGAGTAGACGTATTCGGTTTGGTTTGGGTGGATTGTTACGTTGACGGTTGGGCCGAGGGAGGTGTTTCTAGTTCAGTTTATCAGCCTGATCTGCTCTAAATTGACTTGGATAATGGGTAAGTTGGGCAGAGCTACGACGTACAGGAAATACGGACTGCCAAAGAAGCTCAGGGTGATATTCTGCCCTAACTCAGACGCAACGTCTAGAATCGAGCCTAGCGAGTCATATGTTGTGTTTCCGACTCTCTTGTTATCGTTATACACCAGCTGCCAGATCTGCTTAGAGTTGACAAGTGCCGTGGAGTAGATCTGGGTGTCGGTGCAGGTTGAGCCGCTCTGGACGCATCGTCCCTCCAGGACGTCTCTGAAGGCCTTGAGCATGGCCGTGTACGCGAAGAGCTGGTCTTCATTTGCGGGCTTCGGTAACTCGTGCTGGGTGTGATCGCGGACGCGGCCGAGGACTTTAAGGTCCGTGATCTCGGTCGATTGAACGCCGTTTGTGAAGTTGAAGTTCACGGCGTAAGAGGCGTTGTATATCCCGCATTCAACGACCCATCGTTTGTCCAGGGGCATAAAGGGCGAGACTGTCATGATCAGTTTGCCCGCAACGTCGGCGTTCCTGTCCCCATTATCGGGGCCTGGATAGGACGTATAGACTCGCCTATGCATGGCGTAGGAGATGTTATCGGTTTCGGGCGTGAAGCCTAGAAATGATGTCGAGTAGAAATTGTTGGCTCGTGACCAGTCGTATACTTGCTGGCTGACATTGGCGCTGGAGTTGCTGCACTGTATCAATGGGCTGTAGAAAGAAAGCGAATACGATGAGTTTGGTGCTGGAGCTGGGATGCTAGGGATCGTCCCCTGGATGACAGCTCCGGTTATAAAGCGAGATACGCTGGGTGTCGGGCCTGTTGGCCCACCGTCGTCCATGGTGTAGAACTTGTCGAAGTCGAAGTCGATGGCTGGCATTTGCTGTTCTTGCAGCATGGTGCCTATCGTGGACCGAACTGATAGCGTCGATGGAGTAACGACAGTAACTAGAGGAATGCACCTGATGCATATTAGCAAGCCCTTGACAACGCAGTAGAGCATCTACACACCACGAGATAAGCCCTAGTACAGCCACGTTGGGACCTCGAAGCCATATATGAGGATCGAAGAAGTTGAAGATGTTGCCCCGGATATCCCACATCGAATCCAACGTCGACAGCCTAACTGGCCTCGAACGCAGAATCCACCAGAGATTCTGCACGCAGGCAATACCAACGCCCGTAGTCAAGAACGTCTTCGTCAAAAAGGCGAGCCCAGTCCCTACTCTCAGGGACCATTCCTGCTGCGTCTGCCCGGGGACAATGGTACCGTTCAACGAGAAGTAGTAAAAATGATGACCAAGCGCCAGTCCCAATCCAATAATCCAGCACACGCCCATAGCCGTCGGCATCCTCCAATGGATGCCATCTCGCTTTTTTACCGTGCCGCTGTCTATCAATGACCCGATTAGCACGCAATGCCCGTAAAACAGAGACACAGGGCAAGTCCTCACCAGCCAGCGCGCCACCCTTTGAATTCGAAAACATGTTTGCCCGGAACATTTGTAAAACATCTTTCTGGAAGCCTCCTGCAGGGAAAATTCCTACGCTTAAGTAGCAGTAGCCACTTCATCCTCCAACTCCGCGCAGGCGCTTAATAGTATTTTTAGCGGGTGGGCAGCCATTCATAGCGAGCAGTCGGCGAACAGAAACGCAGGGGGTTGCTGCTGTCATTCCCCGCTCTCGGGAGAGCTACGGAGCTCCATTGGCCGTAGGAGTTGTGATTGAGGCTGTAAGCGTGTAACTGGAACGTAGTGCGAGTGTCGGTCCCTACCCGAGTGAGGAGAGAGTGTCGGTCCCCGGATTGCACAGCCATGGTCGAATTGGTCTTATCATGCGACGGTGATTCTTGCTGAGCAAGACTCTCTTTTCAGGTTGAAACAAGCGTTGCTAGCATGGCTAGGCTGAAGGGTTGGAAAAAGCAAATTTGTCTTTCAAGCGTGTTGGTGAGTGCCTGGTCCAATTTTGGTCTGACATTTGAGGTAGGGGGACGGACCACGTCGCTATCCGTCGATGACGATTAATACCTCAAGTCTTCAACCTAGGCAATAAATATTGAACCTGGATTTCTGTAATTATGAAATGGTCGGTTGTCCCTGATGGGAGTGAAATTGAGACGGAGGAGTTGAGAGATGCGAGGAAAGATATAAGTCCATTCCGCCAGCGTGACTAGCACAACATGACAATGGCAGGGCATGGGAAAACGACTTGGTGAGTTCATTGACTTTATAGGCAAGATACTAGTGATAATTTGTATTTATTGCCTCGTCGCCTAGCTCTCAATACTACACGAGCTGGCATCTATTTTCATGGGAGCTGCTGTCGCTACTTCTTCGTCGAACAATCCAGAAGACAGAATATTTAGTAGATGTTCATATGAGAATTCGATTAGGTTTAAGATCATAAGCCCGTGGAATTAGCATATACAAAATAGAAACAAAGTAAACCGGCGGATGCAACCCAAAGTAAACCAATCGATATAAAGGACAAGAAGGTGATATATTTACTACAGGAGCATAAAGTATACGAAGAAGTGAGTATATGGGTCCAGTCGTGGAAAGGAAGCGACACGACGGACATAAAAGAACAACAGAAGAGTTGCATTTAGAATGCCGCGCGACTAGGCTCCAGGGCGATTGACTTATTTGAACTGGTCAATGCATCCCCAGTGCTGCTCAACACCGTAAGTGTCAGAGGAAGCGAACTTGGACTTCCAGCCGTCGTTGGCGTAGGAGAAGAAGACGGAGACACCGCCGACCTTCTCGAGAAGGGACTTGATGGCGGTGGTCTGCTCGGCCTCGCCGGGGACGGCCTTTCCGTTGGCGTTACCGGCGTTGGGCCAGCCGGTCTCGAGGTTGATGACGTCCTTGCCAGAGCAGACCTCCTTGAGGTCGCTGATCTGGTTGCTGACGAGGGTACCGGCCTCCTCGGCGGTGAACTCAGCGTTGAAGAAGGGGTGAAGGTTGGCACCGAGGATGTCAACAACAGGGCAGAGAGTAGAGCCGCTGGCGAGCCAGGTATCAATGGGCTCAGCAGTGGTGACCTGACCAGTGTAGCCGGCAGCGGAGAAAGCGCTGGCGGCCTCGGAGATGAAGCTGGCGAGCTGAGCAGCAGAGGCAATCTTCTGGTTAACGACTTCGTTACCGACAGCGATGAGAGAGACAAGGTCCCACTGGCCCCAGCTGGTGATGTCGGAGAACTGGGAACGAGCGCCCTCAAGGCCAGTGGAGCTGTCAACGCTGACACCGAGGATCATCTGCAGACTGTGGGTCTTGCAAGCCTCGCCGACGTACTCAAGGGTGCTGCAGTCAGTGCCGTAGACACGAACGTGGGAGAAGCCCTTCTGCTTGATAACAGCGACCTTGCTCAGAACATCGGACTTGCTCATGCAGGTTCCGTCGTTGTTGTAAGGAGTGAAGGTCATACCCATCTGGGTACCGCTGACACCGGTGGGGACGCTGGTGGCAGAGGAGCTGGTGCTGCTGCTGGTGGGGACAACGCTGGTGGTAGAGACAGCGCTGGTGGTAGGGGCCTCAGTGGTAGGGACGGCAGTGGTGGTGGGGACAGCAGAGGTGGGGACAGCAGGAACGCTGGTGGGCTCGTTACCGTTGGTGTAGGGGCAGTAGTAGACGTCCTCGGTGCGAGTCACAGTGACGGTGGTGCCGGGGTTGGTGTAGGTACCAGGGGTGACGGTGGCCGGGGTGGGGTAGACGACCACGGTGGAGGTGGGCACGTAGGTGGTCGTAGGGGCGATGGTGTAGGTGCCAGCGGAGGGGCAGACGTAGGTCGTGGTCTCGATGACGCTGGTGACGGTGCTGCCGGTGGGCTTGACGGTGGCGTAGGGGCAGGTGATAGTCGTAGCGGTCTCAACGATGGTGGTGACACCTCCGTAGGTGTGGGTACCGCTGGGGAGGTCGGTGGTGGTAGCACCGCAGACAGTGGTCGTGTCGGTGACGGTGAGCGTGGTGGCGGGGATGGTGTAGGTACCAGTCTCCGAGTAGCTGGTCACGCCGGGGGTAGGGAGAGTGACCACAGGGGTTTCGACCGGAGTCTCGACGGGAGTCTCGGAGGGGACCTCGGAGGGAGTCTCGACCGGAGAAGCAGAGGACGTAGCAGTGACCGTGACGGTGCTGGTGCTGGTCGACTCGACGGTCTGAGTGGTCTCGGAGGTCACGGTGCTGGTAGGGACCTCGACGGGGGTGCTGGTGCTGGTGGTGACCGGAAGGGGGATGGCTAGGAGCCGTTAGCTCGTCCCGACAATTGACAATGAGTTGACAACTTACTGGTTGGCTCGCCCCAGTAGGTGATGACCTCGGTTGTGCAGCCGCACTCCTCCTCGGGAGCGGCGGAGGGGGCGTGGAGGGCGCGGTGGTGAAGACCCTCGTGAGCATGGCGGCGCATGTGCATGTCCGCAACGGCGGTGCCGGCAAAGGCGGCCGCGGTGGCCAGGATAGCTCCCCTCATGTTGTATAGAAAATAAACAAACGTTTATGTCGAGTCGATTTTGGGGGTTTTGTGTGTATAATCGCAATGAATGCCCGCTGAAAGAGTGAAGCGGTGGTCAATGGCACAAGTGCAAAAGAGCGACGGGGAGGAGGCCTCTGGACCGGTGGGAAGCAGAGAGAGAGAACGATCACCGGGAGAAGAGGAAAAGGTGAGAAGAAGAAGGGCGAGGCAGGAGAAAAGAGGGGGCCGCGAGGAAATTAGGGCCAATTCATTCTGGGGCTTGGGGAGCAGGTTCTGGCGCAGGCGAGGCTGGTGATTGGCAGGCGATGTTCTGGCCAGGATCAGAGAAGAGTCGAAGGCTGAGGCAAAAGGGGCATCCTGGGCGAATGCTGATCTCCAGCTTGGAAGGAGCGGGGCTGCGGAAATTATACTGAAGCCACCAGCCACTGACAGCCCACGCCAGCTCGCGTGGTTTCCTCTTTCAGTAAGGTCATAACATGGGCTCCACTTGCTCTTCGCCGTTCCCTTGCAGACTTGGACTCGGACTCTGCAAACTCCAGAGTCCAGAGTCCAGCCTGACTGTTGTCGCTCGTATACTTGGTCATCTTGAATTGGCTCTTTCATCAGATAAACGCCGAAGACAAGATAGACAGCGACGTGGTGCGCAATCTGCGAGAGCGACACGTCTTCGGAATAGAGTTTCAAAATTACCATGTGAACTGAAATCCTGTTTCAGGCCCAGGCGAACCTTCATGTCATCTCATCCGCCACCGGCATTTCTTCTGACAAACAATCTCAGATGTCTCTGGATTCTTCAGTTGCCCTGCCCACTGCAGAGACGACTGAGACATGGTTCCCACGTTGACTCCAGCCGGCAAAACAAACAGAATCCCCGAATCTTGGAACATCCAAATTCATGGTCAATTTGTTCCAGCCCACTTTTAACCGTAGATTGAGAGCTGCCACTGGCCGGGTTTCCCACAGCCATCGTGCGGTCCACCAATAGCACTGCTCTCGTGCCTGACTACCGTTACGCAATACACACCGCCGTATCTTAGTCAGGGGCGATTCTCATGATGATGGATGACGGTTGTGATGGCTCAGCCTCACCAAGACGCCGGAAGGCACTATCAAAAGGTGAAACGAAAGCTCGATAACGTCCACTACTATCGAGGTCGAGGGCCTCGAGGCTCATTGCTGGCTCAGGAAACGAACGAGCGGCAGTCGCAATCAGACGGAACAGACTCGATTATTGTCAATAAACCGGTCGATCGCCACCGAGGCAGAAGGAACAGCGAAGATCCAGCACTTCCTTCAAGCTTCAGAAGCCCATCGCTGGCCCAGTGATTTGCTTCCTTTTGATTCGAAGATACTGATACTCCGCGGAGCACGATGCCGACTCTGCCGAGACCCGGGGGCCGGCATCCACCCCTGCCCTCTCCAAGAGATCTCGATTTTTGACTGAGAGCTCTTCACGTCGGGTCTACCCAGAGTATGACGTGCACCGCTCTACGCCGGGAATGGGATTGACAGGCTCTACCGATTTCTACCTCATCGTGACCTCCCATATCCTTTAGGTGGTTGAAAGCTCTTTCGCAATTCAAATGGCCCGGCTTCTTCCATAAACAAGATCTTCAAGCTCGCCGCGCGACTCTGTCCTTTGCGGCAACGATCAGCTGAATACGGCGGTCTCGAACGAGATCCGGGTTGCAACTATTTCCACCATCAATGCTTGGCCGAAGGCTCTTTGAGGCTAAACAAAGATCATCGCGTGAATGCTCAAGCAGCGATAGCTGCCTCTGCCGCGCTGCGCTTGTTTCACTTCGGAGTCACCAATTTAGGAGCGTAATATGTCGATGCCTATTAATATCGTGGGAGCACTAACTGTCTGACGCCGACGGTTCTATCATTGTCGCCTATGTTTTCAGGAGAACATCGTCCGCGAGCTTGAAGATAAGCCAGTCTCGAACAGAGTTGATCCCTGGTATCGGCTCGAGACTCAAATCGACTTGACTTCTAAAGTCTACCCTCGCTCCGCATTCAGGGACTCAGGGGAAACGGCTCGGCGCCTCGGATGTCTTAAAGACGGCTGTGGGGTGGTTTCTGAGACCCCTTTCTATAACGGTCGACTCCGCCCACGCTTTCGATAGTGCACTTTGAGGTCTCCAAGACTTCAACTCACGGAGTCACGGTCGAGGCTTTTACGTCCTGATCGATTCAGGAGACACCAACTCCCCTATCCCGACCATCTCCTTAATATGGATAGCGACGGAGGTGCTAGCTCACAAGTTGCAACTCGCGAGCCGTAGTGCCTTTTCCGGAGGCTTTAGAGTCGATTCAGAGATGTCTTCTTGTGAGACGTCAAATTTTCGTCGCTATCGACTATTCTCTCCACCTCAGCTCACCTTGACTTGGGGAAAGCGACAGTCCCCGCAACTAAAGTGGTAGCTGCTGTTCTTCCGCTCCAGATCATACCCTGACTCCTGTCGTCTGTCGAGATACATGCATTCTTCGCTTCTTCAATCGTAACGCAGAAACACAGGACGATCGGAAGAGAAGTCCACCAAGGCAGATGCCTCAGACATTGGAACACATTTCCGTGGCAGTTCAGCGCATCACTGGTCTTACATGCTCCTACATACTGGAATACCAGGCTAACGAAATCGTCAAGCTCAAATGTCATTCATACTCGCACTTCATTGGCATAGTACATACAAACAGTCAAAGAGGATTGATCTCCTTTGGCTTTGCCGACCGAGTGAGGTCCAGTGGTGCATCGCGATATTTATATGTACGCAGGACGCTATGTCGCGACCAAATCCACCGCGATGAGTCTTCATAAAATATGTACCCATTCTCTCCTCATCGCGACCGCATAACCCTTCCACCTTTGCTAGTCCTCATCCTTTGTAGATCGTGTCGTGCGGAGAGTGCGCCGGTGAAGGCCAGTCAATCAATCGATGTCGACTGGGCGTACTCAGCAAGTATGCAAATAAGCCAATTAATGGCAACGCTATCCGAAACAAAACAATTAGCACAACCACGGCCCAAACCCGATAAACAGATATTTCGGGGAGCAAACATACCGCGTCACTTCCGCACGTCAGCGGCGGACAGCACATGATGTTCATGGTTGAGTTGTCGCACGCGCGGTTGTTAAGCTACAGCAAGCAGAACAATTAGCCTTGCCTGCCATCGAAGTTTGGCGGGGATTCGGATGCGGATAGAAAAGGACGTACACCAATACACGAAATCTGCGTCTTGAACTCGGACGGCATGGCCGTAGCTGTCGTGGCTCCTGCAGCGAGGACCGCCGTGAAGAGGGTGAGGAGTTGCATTGCGTCTGCTTGCTTATCGGTACTTTTCTTTGGTAGGAGGGAGCGAGAGAATTGGTGTTGCAGAGGATACGTCAAAAGTAAGTTTTCTCCCGGAATTCCAATCCTTTAAGCTATCCTACCCCTTGATTCAACTCTCTTGACACGCGGACCTCGCCATGACGCAACGTGGGTACGGATTTTCAGGAGACATTCCAATGTTGTTTGACAGCTCCAGCTGCGTGCAGGGGACAACCCTGTGGGCAAATCAGGGCTGCGATGGTAGGACGGATCTGCAGAGCTGATACACGGTGGAGACTGAGATGATGGTTGGTTTCTATATTTATGTGACTGAGGTGAGGGCCGTGAGGGCATTTGCTTGTCTGCCTTGCTGGCTGGGGTATGGGGGCTGGGCGATGCGATCGCGGGATCGATTTGGATGAGATTCTGGCTCGATCTTTGATCGTGATAAGGTGGGGTTCTACAATGAGCACAGTACCTAAAGGACCGGCGGGATAAGAACCGACAGTTGCTGTTGAATGTATATCCAAAGCAACTCTCGGGGAATTTTGATATTCGGCAACTTTTGCGTAGGCCCTAGCGAGGATATATAGTTCTGCCGTGACACTGGAACATGATGCTGGAACATCGCCGAAGACACGATTAGCAAGGACATCATACTGTAAGCGTGGTAGAGGGCCTGATCGTGGCCAGACCATCTCTCTCATACCACTCGCGTAGATGTTTCGCCTTCTGCCTCTGCTTCCTGCCCTCGTTTCACCTCATACCCCTAGGCATCTGATGCCCGAAGTCGCGAATCAGGATTCTCTCTCCATACGTCGGACACGATTTGTGCACACATGTAGCATAGCTGTTTAATGCAAGAAGGATGATGACCACTTCCCTCAAGGTATAGGAGAAAATAGGTAGATCTTGGTTAAACGTAGGAGGTAAGAAGGTATCAGAAGATATCTCTAGTGGTATAAGCACATGGAAGCTGGAGCCGATTACAAGGCTTCCAGACGTGAGATCTGCAGCTAACAGATTCGAAAAATTCCATTGACAGGTACAGCTAGAAATAACCAAATAACAAACCAACACTGGCAGGATATTTTCTTGTTCGACATATTCAACCCAACCCCCAACTCACCTTCCCCAAACTCTACCACTCTACACCCCCTCCCCCATCCCCCCACGCACAGGAACTTCGCCTGCCACATTCACACTCTTCTCGCCAACACCCGGACCCTCAAAGACCCTCAAACCCCCAATCTCCTTCTCCCGCCTCACCTCCTCCTTAACCGCCTCACTAACATCAACAAAGACATGGCCCAGCGGTCCGCGCTCCGCACTCCAGCCAGAGCACTCAACGCGGTATCCCTCATCGGGCTCAAGCACCTCAAAGTCGTTCCACGACCGCTCAGCCCGGTTATCCCAGTGCAGCTCGCAGATTTTCTTGTCGCCGTCGAAGAGGTCAAGCCAGCCTTCGCTGCCGCGGCGGCCGGTTGCGCAGACTTCGCCGAGGCCATCGGAGGGTATGGTCATTTTGTCGATGGAGGATTCGGTGAGGGATTCCGAGGGGTCGTCGGGGGAGTGGAAGTCGCCGCTGCATTGGCGGGTTAAGGGTTAGTTGTAACTGGGTTAGTAGGATGGGAGGGGAGGGCGCACGGGGAGACGAGGGAGTCGCGGATGTTGATGTCGCGGTTCTTGAGACGGTCGCGGATGTGGATGGAGATCCATTGGGAGTCGAGGGGGTCGGATGGTTCCATCTTGACTGATTGATTGGACTGTAAGTATAATGATAGGAATGAATGGGTTGTTATGTGGCGGCTGGGTGTGAGGAGACGGAGAGAGGGGAGATCTGGCACTGGGCAGTTTATATGCTTCTTGCGGGGTATTGCATGGTCAATTGTGTGGACCCGTGGATGCGCGCTTGTTGGCTCTTCGAATGTGATGAAGTCATGATTAACCTTCGGTGAGACAGGGGATGTCTGATAGGATGGGATAGGTGGTTGAGAGGGTGAGTTTCCAATGGTCGGCGAAATAGAAATCTGGAGACGGACAGAGGCGGAGAGAATGCGGGGAAGCTGCCACCCATGACGACTGCTGCAGGACTAAAGCTGGCGATCATTAAGCCATTGTACTTGAATGATAAAACCGATCAAGCCTCAAAACCGTGTACTATTTTATTTGTATTCGGTATGATGGTAATCACACAAAAAGATATCAAAACTATGTGCAAGTGATGATCGCCTGGGCAATGAGATAAACATGGTCCGGATGCCCTCCCAAATGCGGTTCGTACAAATCCGTGCGTAACAATTCGCTGCAGTAAGAGAGAGTACCAATGTCCGTGCAAGTGCAAATCCTGTGTATTATGTATTATCCGTCGCAGACATGGTCCGCTTGTATCCGCTTCTATAGACTGCCGTTCATATAGCCTAGAAAATACCGAATCTTTTCTTGCCGTCTGATCATCGTCAGTAAAACTCGAGGATTTGGTTACCCAGACGTACCGCTCTTGCGTTTCTTCCCGTTGGCATCCGCAGCGGCCAGCGCTGGGTTCACGCCGTCTGCCGCAGCTCGGATTGCTGCGATACGGTGCACCGCTCTGGTATCCCCTTGATCGGCCGCTTTGACGTACCAGACGTTGGCCTCCAACGGATCGCGTCGACATCCAATGCCCATCTCTGTGAAGTATCCTACAGCATATTGCGCTTTCGCCAGCCCTGCCTTCATTAGACGGATTTTTTCTGGAAAATAAGAAACTTACCGAGTTCAGCGGCCTGCTTGGCCCATTCGTATGCCTCATTCTCGTCTTTCTCCAGCACCGGCTCTGCACCAACTAGGTACCAAGCACACAGTGCCATCATTGCCAACGGATGCCCACCTTGGGCAGCTCCAGTATAGAAGTGAATGCTGAGGGCAGGATCTTTCGGGCAATTCAACTTCCCGTGCTCGTAGGCATCGCCAAGACGGTAGCAGGCCTCTACATGGCCCAGGTCGGCCGACTTGGTAAAGAGTTGAGCAGCATAGGAAGGGTCGACAAAAACATCGTCTCCATAACCAGTTTCGTGGAGCAAGCCGAGTTCGTAAGGTGCCGAATTGTACTGAGCATCGGAAGACTCTGCCGCTCGTTTCAACCATTTGATACCTTCGCGATATCGCTTGCCTAAACCCATGTCTCCTGCAAGGCACGCCTTGGCCATTCGAAGCATAGCCCCTGGATGGTTTTTCGAAGCCGCCTGGCGATAGAATTGTTGAGCTCTAGCCGCGTCAACTCGAGTCCCCCAGCCAAACTCATAACATAAAGCGGTCCGGTAGCATGCCTCGACGTGGCCGTGCTTGCTTGCAGCCACAAACAGAGAGAAGGCGCGATCGTAGTCCTCCTTCCCCTTGCTAAACAAGCCCGAGGCGTAGCCATCCGCCAAGTAGTACTGTGCAAACGGATAGCTCCGGCTGGCCAGCCCCTGGAATATCGACTTTGCTTCTTTCAAGAGGTGGGCACGGGTAATTTCGTTAGAAGTCTTGTCTTTATCTGCGGATATTGATGGCTTGCCGCCCTCAAGTACATCATCTGGCATTTCCAGCATGGCGTTGACCATGAAAACGGCAAATTCATACTGAAGGGCCGAATCATCCGTCTTTTTTACATTCGCCAAATACATATCAAATGTCTGCTTATGGCTCAGCAACGATGCGTTGTTTCCGACAGAAGATCGAAGATGAGCGTTGCCGAAATGAACTGGAGCGGGACCTGGTTGAGGATATGGCGCGTTGAGAAGGTCAACGAACGAGACCGGTCGAACATCAGGAGAGCCAGAGTTCCTGGATGAGACACGGGGTTTGAGGTAGGGTGATGCCTGGGGAGACCCGTTGTCCGACGCAAAAGAGTACGTTGACCGTGGCCGCTGCGGTCGTTTGGCTGTAAGGTGAGTGTTCGTCGCCGGGGTATTCTCAGCTGATCCTAGAACAGGTGTGGACCGAGCAGCCGCCTGGGAGGGTTGGTATGGGCGATGATGATAGTGCAGTGGCTCGAAGTTCTCAGACGGTTGTGCCATGCTGTCAATGCTGCCACGAGATGATGTGTTTTGACTACCGGAAGGGCCATCGCGGTCGAATGATGACCCGCTGTCTTTGCAAACGATCTGAGGCTCATCATGCGGCTGAGGTTCTACAGCAAAAGATGATATGCTGCTGGCAGGGGTGTGTCGATAAACCATGTTCCCGGACGAAGGCAGAACTCCGACTGACTGCTTTCGCGGGGGGTACCCTCCATGCTTTGTGGGGTTGTCATCCAGCGTCAGGTTGGAGAATGCAGCATTCGGCACGTGTGATGTGAAGTAGTCGTCATCAGCATTCCTAGCTGTCGGACTCTGCGTTTCAGATTGTTCCAAGTGACCGTTTACACTGACGGAGGGGACAGACTGGCGCTGAGCTCTCTGTACAACGTGTCCCAGCGGCGCTTCCGGTAGTGATTTGCGTGCGACTGGAGAGGTCGGCGTGTAGTTTGAATTCCGTGGCGTGGGCTGAGACTCGCGATGAGACGGGGAATGTGGGGGCGAAGACGGATGATATACGGGCGGAGGAGATGGAAGAGGATGAGGGTGAGGATAGGTGCTGGCCACGGGGCTCGCCATTGTTGCGCAGTCGACTATGCGCGTCACCGAACCTATGGCTGACTGTGGTCGGTTTCCGAATCTCGTTGTCGTTCAACGAGGGCCTGGGCGGATGCAGGTGGTACGAGACGAAGGAGCCTATAATCCGGACATGGAGGGTTGTATGACGATGGCCGGGGGCGGTCGAGGAGGCCTCCAAGCGAGCGCAGCGTGTGAGAACGAGAGCAGCTCAGTCGACGAGGAGCCTGAACAAGCGAAAGATGGATCGTCGGGGAGCTTATAAGAGTCAGACGGGGGATGATCGGTTGACTGAGGGAATCGCGGGCCCACAACGAGCGACAGACAGGACCCTATTGAGATGTCAGAAGCGAACGGCAGATGAATGGCTTGCAGAAAAGAGTTTCGCACGGCAAAACACAAGGCAGAGACAATAACAATAAACGAAGGTAACAGTAAGAGAGAAAAAGAAAGGTGCAGGCAGAACGAACGAGAGAAGAAGAGGCGCAGAGGGGCGGGGGAGAACGATGTGGATGAATCGGACGGTAAAGAAAATGGGCCAATAATGGCAATAATTGCCAGCTGAGCGGCGGTTGGGCCAAGCGTTTGGTTTCCGGCACAGGAACTCTACCAAGATACTCCGTTTACTGACACTGCGTAGGAGCAAGACTTTATCATTGAACACTGCTTCTCTTCTATTCCGATTGTCGCAGAGATTCTTGACTCTATATTCAGTACTATCAATGAATGCAGGCGGCCAGAATAGATTCCGTCTGCCACACCGGCGCGGAACCCCTTAACCGCTTCCTTAATTAAAAGGGGTTTAGCGCCGTCCGGAAGCAAAAGGCGGTCTAAAAAATTAAAAAAGTGTATTTCTTGTTAAGAAATGTAATCCCTTAATAAAATTAAGTTTAGTATTATACTAATGCCTGTTTAATATTTAAGGTTATATTATAATTTTAAGTTGCTTAAGGTTATTTTTTTAAAGTTATTTTATACTAAAATTTATATGTAAAAATACCTTTTTAAAATAAATAACTTTTAAAACTTATTTTAAGATAAGCTATTAAACTTTTAGTAGTAAGAAACTTAGCTTTTTTAATTTTTAACCTAAATTTTAATATTTTTTACCTTAAATACCGCCTTGTAACTAAAGTTTTATATTAATTTTTTTTAATTAGCCACGCTAATTACCTTTTTAATAATTTAGGTATTTTTAATACTTATAAATTTATTTATATAAAAAAATACCTAGCTATTACCTTTAACACCCGCATTAAATATATAAAAAAAAGCTAGTAAAAATATAGCTTAAAAAAATTAATTTTTAATTAAGGCCTGTAACGCTAATTTAGCTAAATATATAATAAATAATAAGCCTTAAAAGTTTTAAAATATAATAAATATTAGGTTTAAAAAAAACTCCGGCCGGGTTTAGTATAATTAAAAAATAGCTTAAAAAAAAGCTCTTAATCTTGTTAATAATTTTATAAAATAGGTATATATAAAAATAATAAAAAAAAAATATACTAAAAATAGCTATATAAAAAATACCTTAGTAAAATTTATAGTTTATTTTAAGTAAGTTAAAAAAAAAAAAAAGCTTAAAGGTAAGCCATGGTAGTATAATAAGTAAATATTAAATATATAACTTAATATTAAAAAAACCTAATTAAAAATTAAGTAAAAAAATAGGCTAAAACAGGTTTAAATAAAGTTATATAAAAGTTTTTTAATATATTAACTAAATTATTAACTAATATTAAAAATATAAAAAATCTAAATTTTAATTTTAAGACCTTAAGCCGCCCTCCCCCTATTTAAATAAAGGTTATAAAAAAAATATAATAAAACTATTAAATAACTTTTTTTTAAGTAAATTTTATATAAATTTTTAATTAAATAATCTTATAGCATGCTAATAAAAGCCCTGCTAAAAAAAATTTTTAAAAACTTAAAATAAAAATAAATTATTTTAATTATTAGTTAAAAAAGCTATAAAAAACTTAGGGTTAAATATTAGGCTTTATAAAGTAATTAAATAAATATTTTATAAAGTAATTTACCTAAATATTTTTTTAAACTTATTAATTATATTTAGTAAAATTATTTTAATATTAGGTTTTTTTTACCACCGCGAAGGCATGTTATAATATTAATTAAAAAAATAATTATTTAATACTTAGCTATAATAAAAATTATCCTAACGCGTTAATATAGCTTAAATAATAGGTATTTTTAATTTCTTGTAATTAAACTAAAAGCTTGCTTAATAAAAATTTATAATAATAAAAATTAAATATTAAATACCTTTTTATTAGCTATTAATTTTTTATTTACCTTTTTATATAGCGTAATAATATTATATTTACTTTTATAAGTATTATTTTTATATATATAAAAAGGTTTTTAGCTTTTATATATATTTTTTAAGGTTTTTTTTATTCTTAATTTATTTTATATAAAAGTATTATTTACCTTGCCTTTATATAGGCTTTAAAATAAAAAAATAAGGTTATTAAGTATTACAAGGCCTTAAAACTTTATTTTATATTACTTTTTATATCTTAAATAAAAAAACTCCTAATTTTTAAATAGCTAATATACTAGCTTAAAAGTATTATTTATAAAGGCTTAAATACGCGCCTTAGGGTTATAGGCTATAACTAACTTATAAGCCTTTATATAAATTAAAGTATAATATTAATAAAGGGTTTTTTTAAAAAGCTAAGTAATATAAAAAATAATATTAATATAAATAAATAAAAGCTAAGGCCTACTTTTTTTAAAAAAGGCCTTTATTATTTTTATTTAATATAAAAATATAAAATAAGTAAAAATTAAATATATTATAACTTTGGGATATAGCATGTTATAATAATAATATTTAATTTAATTAAGGTAAAAAAAAGGTATAAAGGTGTAAATTTTTTAAGTATTAAAACTATATTAATTTATTAGGAAATTCTTATATAATTTTATATACCTTTAATTTATTAAAAATAAAAAAGCTAATACTCCCGCGGCATTTAATTAAGGTTAAATTTAAAGTATTAGTAAAGCTCTAAACCTTGGTAAATATAATTAATATTACTTATTAATTAAATTTTTTTTATATATATTATTAAGGCGCTTATAAATAGTATTATTTTATTTATTTTTAGTAATAATAAGGTGGTGGTAATATTTATAGTAGGTAAATTTATTTTATTTATATTTATATATAAATTAGTATAAAGGTTAAAATATTAATATTTTACACCTAATTTAAAATTAACGGGGCTTAGTAAATTTTACACGTGATATTAAAGGACATCCAAAAGCGGTAAATCAGGTAGTATTAATATTAAGAGGAGAACCAAATTTTCGGTGGCAGACGGAATCTAATAACCCGGCTGACCAAAAGCAAGACAAGTCCAATCAGTTTCGCCTATATACAGCACGCTCCCACGTCCAGACCGATTCCAGATGCCTGCTGCATACTTGTGCTCAATATGCATGCATCTCCGCAGAGGAAAGCAGATGCGCCCCAGGTAATGATTATAACAAGCCTTACCGGGCGCCAGCTCAACTCATTAAATACGAGGATCACGGAGTATCTACACTCTTCAGTTCATCCACCGGGCAGTGGGACTGGGCACCACCACAGCGACCACACCCACCGACTCTCCAGGAGTTACTCCCGAGTCCCGTCCTATATTCCCCACCTTCCTGAACTGCGTGAGGCTGAAAGTGACCTCAGATCACATCAAACTGGCGGGAAATGACATGGCAGCAGCAGACTGACAGACTGCTGCAGCCTGCAGCCGAAGCGAAGGCCGGTGGCTTGCGGGGACGTTGAGAAAGCTGGAATGGGCGCTTCAGTTCCCTTTTTATTGGCGGGGAACTATTTCATGGTACCTCTAACAAGCTCGATCTCGTATTTATCCCAAACCAAGGGGCCGCGGACATCAATCATAATGGTCGTTTGAGTTGTCCCAAAAAATCACGGATGAAGTGAGGTCTTGGATTTACTTTTACTCCAGGTGATCTGTCTTACACTATTCGTGGTTAAGACTGGCCTTATGCACGATGGTTCTAATAATAAAGAACCTCGGCTACGCCAACGCAGCAATGGTTTCTTCAGGCTTGGTTGCACTTGGGCAGAGCAGTTCGTAAGACTGAGACAACTTAACCGGGCAATTAATCTATGAAGAACAGACCGTAAATTGAGCGCAGCGAGTGAGGTCCAGCCACATCGTCGGGCACCGGTCGGTCGGCTATATATAACCTTTTCATGTTCTCTTGAGTTCGAGGTTCGTCGTTCGGCAGTCGGCGGGTGGTCTGCGGAGTATTCTTGATGACTAGAACAGTGAACTGAGACATCATACCGCCGGTGTTCACCGGATCCCGGAAGACCTGGATGCCGGGGATTTCTTGCTGTACTATATGTACCACTGCAATGCCTTCTGTATACTTTCTGATGCAAAGCAACTCAGTTTCCAGTCACTGCATGAGAGGGATACACGGAGTTGCCCACGGAGTAATACAACCCAGTATACCATGTAGATCCGCCAATATCCTCGAACGGCGTTCCCGGAGTCCTTCTTCGAGAGAGCTGATATTGAGCGAACGCCATCTGACCTAATAGATATTCTGATAAAGCAGTCATTGACTGAGTGGACCTGAATCTAGATTGACTTCAATATCACCAGTGATTGGCAATATAACTCCTGTGATCGATAGATAAATTGATAGACAATGGCTTCGGAGAGTTTCTTGTTGAGTGCGCCCGAATCCGGGCCTGCGACCTCCAAATCTTAAGCCCGAATCTACAATACAAACTGTGGCGCAACGGTGAGCAGAGGTCCCTTGAGCCGGTAACCGAGCGACAGGGGCATTTTCCTGGAGAACCTTGATTCTAGAAACAAGGAGATGCCAATATTTCTGAAACTGCAGGTCGGCCTTGTCCAAGAACCGGAGGTGGAAGTGATAGGGCCAAGATTGTAGCACAAGAATTTGATTCTGATGCTCCGTGCTCTTCG